ATATAGATTACTAGTGCACATTACAGCACGTTATAGATTGCCGTCTATTTCCGTGGCGCGAACAGCATTGTTTGCGCGAGCGATGCTCGGCTGACAGCTGGCAAGCAAGAGTGTTAAGATTAACTGTGATATTGACACTGGTTCAATAACAGCCGATGTAATTTTAACGGTTGTACACTGCCACTTGTCTGTGTGCTTTCAAGTACTTGACTACTCCTACAAAAGTATCCAATTTGAACACGAATTTACCAGCAGGCCTATACTATGAAAAACGAAATCCGTCAAAACTACAATCGAATCCGAAATTGCTTACTACTCGTATAAAATATAAATCGTTTCGGATCCGAAATCGGAAACGAAGTCCGTTCTATGATGTATTTTGACGTTCCCTCCGAAAAGTACTACTACGAAACCACTAACTGACAGATGATGTTTAGTATTTTGATCGTCCGCAATTGCGTATTTCGTTTTTCGTAGTAAGCCTGCTGAACGGACAGATTGCCCCTTTATGAACATTACTTACAAAAAGTAGTATTTAATATAACTCATGTAGTTTGTAATTACTTTTTCATCAAGCGTCTTTGTAATTTCACAACAACACCAATTACAATTCAACGTTATTTACACAGAAAAGTTTATTACCAGGAGGTAATAATACACTTTTAACTATTATCAAACAGGAGTCTGTTAGTTGGAGAACTAACCCAAAACAATTTGTTACACCTAGATTTATTTTGTGTTTCAAGTGATTAACATCCAACATCCACTGGCCGAGAGTAACCTTTCTTGTAATTTATAAGCAGTCAAATTCTACTAATTTCGACACTAAATTATAAAATAAGTACTCCGTTCTTGACATTGCTAGAAATATGTTTATCTTCAGTCATATAAGATTAAATTAACGTGATTTCGTTCGTTCCTTTCAGCCAAATGACGTCCACTGCGGGACGTAATGTGATTTAGAACTCGTTAAAGTTGTTGTTTTTATGGTTAACTACTAACTCTTTAAATTCAATCAAAATCCTTTAGCTAGAATCGAAGAGACCCCATAACTAAATGAATTAGTCCAGACAAACGGCGCACGTAATTCTTGGCATAGGAAGACTCAAGGGTATTCTTGTTCTAAAATTAGCAGGTGCAGCAGTTAATTTCGCTGTCAAAGTGCAGTAAAGCATCGCAACAGTGCTACTAACCCAATTTTGAATAGGTAGGGTAACAGGACTGGAAATATCGCTCTTATTATTGCAGTCATAAGGTGGGCTCTAAAGACTGTTTAGTGATATTTCAATTAGCCTGTCTACTTGAAATGAATCGAAGATTCATTAGTCTAGTGGGTTGTTATGTGTCTATAATATTATTTACGATCAGGTGCATTTATTCATAGCATTTACTATGAAGTATTTGACAACTGGTTAAATAATAAACTGGTAAAATGATAAGCGCCCGTATTCACAAACGATGCTTGCTTAAGTGAAGCAGCAAATTATACGCACAGCGTTGAAAAGAGCTCTGTGACTAGTTCGTGTGTGACCCAGTGCGTCTACGCGCTCTGTGAGACCTCATAGTAATGTTTGTGAATACGGGTGATATTCTCGTATTTTCCTATTATACTTGCGTGGTTCCAATTGCCACCAAAGCCAACCCAGCGTGGCTGAATAGCAGACATAATCGGGTCTTACGACACTAATAAAAACAAATGCCACCGCGTGTTCCGCGGTTGACATTTTTGGAGTGGCTTTCGGAGTTATTGAAATTAATATCTACTGGAGTGTTTTACCTGAAAGTTCTATATAGTATAAAGTTCTATCTATGCTCTAATAAGTAAGACCGTAAGATAAACTATTATATTCCATATACTTTGCAAAAAGGTCGTACCTTCAGAGTAGAGCTCTCGATCCATTCATCCTAATAGAAGAAATTGAATCCGCCGAGATTTTCCAACGCAATAATCCGGGCTTTTCTAGGCATACCAATGCTCTTTCCTCCATTGCTTTCCATCGTGTTCTTTAAAAGTATTAATAAAGCTGTATTTCCGAGAAAGTAATGCCAGACGTAGCTTTTTAATAGTCCATAATGTACTGCAACAACGTTGGATTCTACCAAATATTTGTACACATTGCGCTGTTGACAGCCGTGGCTCATGCGTCATACGCCATAATAGCGTGGGTTCCGTCTTCAATGCATGACTTGAAGTGCTTTATACTGTGACGTCAAAGGAATTCGTAACACATAGATGTATTCGTTGAACAGTTGACAAGATAGTTCCGTTTGCACTACTGTTTATCTGCTTTTAAAGTAGAGATTGTATTGACTTGCTCAATGAAGCCCTATCTAATTAGGTACATATGTAAAACTAGGTTTATTGAACTGGCTCACCCGGCGAACTTCGTACCTACTGCTGCATATGTTCATCTATACTTATAATAAATCTGTAGAGAGGTCAATTCTGTACATGAAATATATTTTCAAAATAACTATCAGGGGGTGATTGATTAGTGATCGATACTGATGCCAAAAATGCAATCAGTAAAGTTTTTGTCTGTCTGTCTGTCTGTCTGTCCGTCTGTATGTTCCTTATAGAAACAAAAACTACCTACTCCACGGATTTTAACGAAACTTGGTACATCATAAAAGCGCTTTTTTAAAGCCAATTTGCAAAAATAAATGAATTTTATGAATTTTATTTTATTTTACAATTATTATTCATACTCCCGGGCAGGTTATAGTATACTTAGGAATTCCCACGGGAACAGGAATTAGCGGGAAAATCCTTTTGTATGAAAAATCTAAACCGCTTAAGTTAGACGCTTGAAATTTGGTATGTGGGTACCTTAGTAAACCTAAAGCTTAGTTACAACAAGGAATTCCCGAAATTCCCACGGGAACGGTAATTAGCGGGAAAATCCTTTTGTATGAAAAATCTAAACCGCTTAAGTTAGAATTTGGTATGTAGGTATCTTGAAATTTGGTATGTAGGTACCTTAGTAAACTTAAATCTTAGTTACAACAGGATATTGCAAAATTCCCACGGGAACGGGAGTTAGCGGGAAAAAACATTTGTATGAAAAAATCTAAACCGCGTAAGATAGATGAAGGGGGTAAAACGGGATCCACGCGTACGAAGTCGCGGGCGGCCGCTAGTTACAAATAATGTAGGATTCTAATGGAGAAAAAAATTTTCAACTCGGTCCACCCTCGGTCGACCCAAAAAGTAGTGTCAAGCCGAAGCCCAGAGGTAGAGCATCACTAGGGCTACCCAAATCAAACAAAGAATCCAATCTTTTCCCTTTATTTATTAATATTAGTGAAGATTAATTTTATCGTGTTAATTACCATCGTAAAATAATACATACATTTATTTGAATTGAAACAATATTATAGGCTTCTGTGTAAATGTGTATTTCTTTTTATGTCTACTTGAATATTGTCTGAATGCGGTTTCCTTTGTTGCAGAAATATGTCGTCAGCACGGATCGGAGCGGGGACATTCATGTCCACGTGCAGGTGAGAGATAAACATTACCTTTTTATTGTTTTGTCAAAGAAACGTATCGAGATTTGAGATACGTAATCCTTTATTTAACTGTTTGGTTGTCCTTTCTTTGGCTCTTATTGATTGTAATTGCCAAATCTGATGCAAGCTTTTCAATAAGAATTGGGGATTTACTTCATTGCTTACAAAGATAAGTACTTCTGAGCAATGAGAATAAAATAAAATACTATTATTGCAAATGTTAATTAAACCAAACAGTTTTAAATGGATAATTTTTTCAACCTTCTAAGTTTCAATATTTTCAATTAGGTGTTTTTTTTAAATTGTTTATAATAATAATTTTCAGTCAAACACATCTGTGTTTTTTTTTTCACTATGAGGAAGCTCTTGGCCTGTATCTCATCTGTATACTACAAGACTGAAGTTTACCATGCTCTAAATATAGATTCTGCACAGTCGTACTGTTTTCAGTCCCATTGATTTCCCATCCAACAGATACGAGCAAACCTTTTTTGGGAAATGTTTCTTTTTATCTCGTTAGCTTAGTTTCCCTATCGCAGTGTTAAGTTTCAAACAAATTGGATTCCATTGTATAGGGTATCTATGCGTTGGTGAAAACAGCGTGTTTGATGCGCAATGCCCTTGTGTGGCTTTACTAAGCAACAAAATCTACTTTTATGCGGGTAAACCAATTTTGTTTATGTTTTTTTTTATAATAGTGTTGTCTCGCCAAAGTCTAGCCACTGAATTTTTAAATCTTAGATGAAATATCTAATATATCTTAGATGAGCCTCAGATTGCGTGCAAGTGTGCAAAACTTTACAAATCAATGTCCATGTGCCTTAAATACGAGTACCTAGTCCATAATTTCCTTTACATTATGAAACCGTTCGAAAAAAGCCATTCTGTTAATTTCCACCTGAAAACTATGTATATCAACAGTCTAGTCGATGCTGAAAACTTTTTTAAAACTCAATTGTTGATGTTTTTATAACAAATAGTAACAGAATATGCATGCCCTTAGGTAAGAATCCACTTTTTGTTTGAGAATATAATCCAGAATCCGTAGTTACCTTTTGGTAGGAATATTTGCTTGACATCAAATGGCGGTGAAGTGCTAAGGTAATATTATAGCTCCCGTCTTGGGGCACTCTCAGCGTAATAAAGAGGCAGTGCAAATAAGAATTTATTTGCTTTTTATTATCCTGAAAGTTGTTATTGTTACGTGGCTTGCATTTTCATGGTTTAGATTACCCACATGCCAACATTTTTAAACAAAGGGGTTTGAAAAAATTTCATCCTTGAACGAATAACTATACTTTTATTAGCTCTGTTATAAAACCATTTCAAACAGATTTGTGCTGTGTTGTCCGTATTTTATATGTATTTGAGATGCGACTTTCTGTTTGCATGCTTCTAACAGGGGATCATTCCAAAACACGGTCAGGTAAGTCCTACTCTTTGATTAAAACGAAATAAAAATGTTTTCATTTTTGTTCCAAGATTTAGCATATTACTAGGTTGGTAAGAAGGTAAGATTGTTCTTGTGTTCTCGCGTTCTCATTCATTTCTCTTCTAAAAGTATTTATAAATATGTAACGATGCATTAATAAGAACGCGCTATTACTGAGGAGGCGTAGAGTCATGCGACGATGTCGAGTTGCTTTAAAATCTTGTTTCATAGCACAATCCAATTAATTCTCCATCGTCTGGCTTCCATCTACGTAAATGTATTGGATACTAATATATTTACAAGCAAGCTAATGGCAATATTTCCCCGTGATGGCTGTACCTACCACAGCTGCACAGAAATACAGACCCTACGTTGACAGGTGTTGAATTTTCTTACATAGATACGAAAAACATTACCAGTGATTCCTGGATAATGTTATAAGTAAAAATATCCAAAATTAATGATTTGTTTTAGAAAACTCTACAAGTACTTACTAAAGTACCTGTACTATTACTTATTCTGTGCTAAAGGTAACAATTAATTTTCTTCTTTATAATATTCTCTATGATAATATATTTGCACCTATTTTTACGGGCCTAAAGCCGACGGGATTAAATGTGATTGGGCCAGTACCTATGTTTTCATTTCACACATACGAGTAGGTAGTTTAGGGTTAAGCAGAAGAATAACCTCGTTGCTGTCAAGGGACTTACAAAATTAGATCCAGAACATTAAAGTAAAAAATATCTTCACAGAGGAAAAGCTACAATATTCTTTACTTTATAGAGGACGTGGGTAAATCAAGTTTTTTCTTTTTTCAAAAACTGTAACTGCGACACATCCCGTTCGTCCCGGGCAGTTTCTCTGTGTAAGTGACAAGCGAAGGATGTGCAGTCCCACATCCGTCTTCCGCCTCATTATAGTGTGGAAGCAGGCGGCCATTGTGCTCAGCTGTCCCGCGATATCTTTGTTTCTTTGCATTTTATTGGTCCTACTTACTTTTTTCTAGAACAATCTTGTCATGCCAGGCATCGCGATTTGCATTCGATTATAATGATTTGCCTATGATCGTACTCATGCTACGGTTAGAACTTTTGGCAGGAGCACTGAATTTTTTTATGGTTCTACCAGGTAGAACTAAACAGTAGAAAAACCAGCAACGTATGGTTTTGATACGGGACTACTCCCACCTCTCGTTTCCACCGTTGCAACTCCTGTGCAGCCAGGATCTACAGCTTGACCGCAAATAAAAACATAATTATGGTTTTGATAGTAAATTTTCTGATACTCTAAATTGTTTGCTGAAACACTACACTGAATAACGATAAAAGTATCGAGTAATTAAGCGAAACCTTACCAATTTCAGGGCGATCTCAGCCAGCAAGACAAGCGATGCGTGTTCCTCACCGTCCACGACCTTGGAACTAACCGTGAGTAAACATTTTATTAGCAAACTAACTACAATGTCTTCATTATTATGTGAGACTTATAGAACGACAGAAAAGAATAGACGAAGCTACATCAAGACGACCGGTCTGACGTGATACTTGATGTAATGGACTACAACGCCAGCTTCAGTTGCGGGTTCGAATCCCGCAAAAGGCAAATGCTAAAGGGATGAGCACGATCTATCATTATCGATTTAGATATAGAAACCCCGATCTAGAAAAATGGAAATCGAAGCGAATACCAAAGAGTAAATTGCGACTCCTAGACCGCACATAAGGAAATGTTTAGTACGATCCAAGATTATCCTACCTGCTACAAATCAACTGATTTGTCTTATTTACCCTCCGCAGACTCGTCCCTGGTGGACTTTGTGACCAGCCCGGCCATGAGCGAGATCAAGGAGCGGTCCTGCTTCATCCACGTGGACGTGCCGGGCCACGAGGAGAACTCGCCTGACCTGCCTGATTCGTAAGTACACTTATGGTTTATGGTTTTAGATATTTATTTTTCTAAAAGAATACAATTATATTCACTTATAAGAAAAATACAGAATACACTTTATAATAAATAAGCAGCAAGTGCACGCAACAGACAAGCTCGTTTCATTTATGTACACATCACATTAACATAGTATACTCCGGGACCCTTTCGAACCAGGGTCCAATTGGTTGGATACACAGATTATCAAGCATTTTACTCTATTGTTTTCAGTTTGGTTATGAAATGGTGGGAATGAATTAACCTGATTTTCCGAAAAGAAATAAAATAATGTATCGAGTGAGAGTTAAATCAGTAATCGGTTCGATTGGTACTTAAGAGCGTTTACGTCTAGCGTGGCATGTCAAGTTTAGGTAATTTCGATGCTAGTTTTATTCACACTAAAATAATTATGACTGTGTGCGTGTTCTAACGCTCTATAGTCGAACCAAAATACTTTGATCCACCATCGTAAAAGTGTGCCAGGCTGTCAAGTGACAGCTCAAGGAATCTATAAAATCTTCAAATCTTCCAACACCGACTCCATAATTATAAATAATGGTATACATTAGTCCTAATCAATAATAAATACGTAAATTCTTTATCAAATAGTAAATTATCAAAGGTTTTTTACTATTTTGAGAATATTTTATACAGCCTATGTTCAGCAGAAAAAAATTTGAATTTTAATGGTGAGAGATTTTGTCAAATCTTTTCTATTCAAAACAAACTTTTCCTGTTTACTATTCTTTTTTTTATCCGGAAAATGCATAACATTTCATACCCACCAGCTGCGGGGGCAGCTAGTGGGTTATGTGGGGTTCTTCCTACCAGAAGGTGGGTAGCCCCTACACCCACTAAAAACCTGACTGTTTCTGCCATGATCCATATGAGTGATATGAGGGAACGCGGGACATCGCCATTGGCTGTTGCCTGTAGCATTCGTCCTTAGCCGCCACCAGACACCTCCATGTCTAGCGACCGAGGCCTGTTAGGAAGGGACAGTTGGAGACCATAACGTTGTTTGAGAGTTAATAACGAGTATTTATCCAAAAGTGATTGATATGAGGCCCATACCTTTACAGATTGGTAATTTAGATTAAGTAGATATTTACGTTGTAAGGTTTCAAGTTGATCACTGTATTTATTGTAAAATGGGTTCCAAACACATGTAGCATACTCCACCTGAGGTCTTACGAGTGATTTGTATAGTAACAGGTGAGTACTTAGCTTCTTGAAAGAACTGCAGGTACGTCTCAGAAATCCAAACATTTGAAAACCCCTAGCAGTGATGTAGTCTACGTGAGCATCAAAATGCAATTTAGAGTCGAAGAGTACACCTAAATCTTTGATTAAAGAGACTCGTTCCAGAGGAGTGTTACAAAGCACATAGTCATATTGAATGGAGTTGATTTTTTTAGTGAAGGATATAACTTTGCATTTAGGTATGCTCAAGTGAAGTTTATTGGCTGAACAGTAAGCAGTTAGTCGGTCCAGGTCCTCCTGTAATTTGACACTATCGTCAATGCAAGTTATTTTACGAAACACCTTAAGATCGTCTGCGTATAATAAAAAGTTACTGTGTCTAAAACAGGTGTTTATATCATTAATGAAGAGTACAAAGAGTAGAGGACCCAGGATCGATCCTTGCGCCACACCAGAGGTCACGCTGACCACATCTGAGCTGAACCCTTGGACAACAACCCTCTGAGTTCTATTTTTAACATAGGAGGTAATCCAACGGAGCAGACTTCCACGGATACCGTTATATGCAATTTTTTGTAAGAGTAATGTATGGTCCACCTTGTCAAAAGCCTTGCAAAAATCTGTGTAAATTGTATCAACTTGCTGTCTATTATCCATATTTTCAAACAAGGAATTTGAATACAAAATTAGGTTACTTACTGTTGAACGATTTCGAACGAATCCATGCTGTTCGGGGATGATAGTATTGTGTAGGGTGGGATAGATTGCCTTATGAACCAGCTTCTCCAAGACTTTTGACAAGGTAGACAACAAGGAAATTGGCCTATAGTTGGTAACATCGTGTTTGGCACCACCTTTATATACAGGAATAACATTAGCAGTCTTCCACGCTTGAGGCACAATTCCTTCCTTCAGACTACGATTAAATAAATGAAACACTGGAGTACTGATAGACTTAGCGGTATGTTTTAGGAAGAAAGCAGGTAGGCCATCCGGCCCAGGACCCTTCGCAACATCCAAGCATTTGAGGGAAGAAACTATATTTTCTTTAGTAAGAATCAAGTCGGAGAGAATTATTTGATTATTGGTTGGAGACACAAAGTTAACCGAAGCACTGGTATCTGTAGGTTCGTATACTGAGCTGAAAAAATTTGAAAATAATTTACATACATTTTCAGGTCCATTGCCAACCTCGTTACTAAATGACATTGTGTCAGGTACGCCACTGTTCTTCTTGTTGCTCTTAACAAAGGACCAGAATTTTTTTATGTCATTTCGCAAGGAAGTTTCGATGTAATTAAGATAATTACTGTAGCATTCAACTGAAAGTGACTTGAATCTTTTACGATATAGGGAGAATTGCTCATAGTCTGTTATGTTTTTGTATTTTTTATATTTTATCCAGGCTTTTCCCTTGTTTTTAAAAACGTGTATCAAGGGGCGAGAGAACCAAGCCGGATACTCATTAGATTTAACTGGGCGACTTGGAACATGGGCTTTTATAATTTTGTAAATAATCTCATAGAAAGTGTCGACTGCAGAATCCAAAGAAACGCTATCCAAAACAGAGGTCCAGTCCACTAAGTCAATGTCGCTATTAATAGCGGAGAAATCAGCCTCGATGAAGTGATACCTAGGAACAGAGCTACGTGGCATGGGCTTAAGAATAGATTTAAACGGAATAATGGCTAAAAAGGGAGGATGGAAGTTATCTATAGGGACCAAAGGAATGGGCACGGGTTCACATGAGCATAAAACGGTAGATACTAACAAATCCAAGGTACGATTCTGGTGATTTTTAATATTGTTATATTGCTTACAGTTTAAAGTTGAGAGAAAATTCAGAACTAAAATATCAAGTGAAGAACTGTGACTGTGAATACGAGGCATTAGCGCAGGCCCAACCGAGTCGGTCCATTCGATATGCGGTAGGTTAAAATCGCCAATTATGTAAATATCATTAGAAGCAGGGGAAAGTAATTCGTTTTCAAGCAAGTTAAATAAGGATTGGTAGTTATCCAGTGTCTGGCTAGGAGGAACGTACACTCCACATACAGTCTGATATTCATTGCTAGTCTTGGAATGTAGCTTTAAAAGTACATAATCGACATTGTGTGGCATTTTATAATAACAACCGTCGTGGTAAAGCGTAGTCGTTAGTTCAGTCCGGGTTACGGACAGTCCACGCCGCACAGCTACCAATATACCTCCACCGTCACACTTCCCGCTCAACACACGATTTCTGTCGCACCGGTAAACAACATACCGGGAGTCAATGAATTCGCCATCGCCGATTTCGGGGACTAACCATGTCTCTGATAGAATTATAACATCGTAGCACTCCGCCATAATATTGTTGTAAAGAGTATTTAATTTAGTTCTAAGACCCCTGCAGTTTTGATAATACAATGCTAAATTATTAGCCATTGCTCTGAGTGGAAATACTAAATATTACTGAAGGAACCTCAATAGTAAGATATCCTGTGCTACAAATACAGTGAAATCGAAAGTAATGCAATAATTTTCTTATAGTAAGTAGTGACGAAATAAAATTTGGGTGGACAAAATATCTTTCCCAAGTGATGTATAGTGCAATAAAATAAGTAAAATGCATTAATAAATCATAATAATATGTATCCTTAAAGAAGTATACTTTTAAAAAAGCAAACCAGTGCGATTTATCATATATTTCAACATGAAAATAAGCGGCGGTCAGTCTAAGAAAATAGTGAATACCTGCGGTCCCAGTCAGCGCGCAGAGCACTGCGACGTATAGAGAACTCAAACACAACACAACATATGCAACATAATAATACGGTGACAAGTGAAGTGTATCGTTAAATACAGCACTATTACACTCACGTTTGGCGAACAATGAATGCACAAACATTAAAAAAAACAATGTAACACTAATGTAAATGGGAATTGGGCTTAAGTTTAGATAAGTCTTTTTCTGTGCGGATAGCGAAGGCAGGAGTAGTGACGTCGGCCCTGACCAGGATAACTCCATGTTTGATCCAGGCAAATTTGAATCCCGCTTCACGGGCGAGATCTCGGGCTTTACGAAAAAGTTTTTTACTATTTAGTGTCAAGTGTTCATTGATGTAAATCTTCCGTGAAGGACCTTGAATATTTAACTGTTCTGATTCGAGCCCTTTATTCAAGCGTGTGGCAGAGATGAAGTTGTCCCGGGTGATTTGACTAGCAAATTTGACAACTATGTTCTTTGGACGAGTAATATTCGGGCTGCTTTGCGGCACACGATGGATGTTGACGATGTCACGTGTAGACATTGGCAGTTTGATGACCTGAGCGATATTCTCAATGATTGAGATTAAGTTCTCTCCTCGTTTCTCAGGCAGATTACTAATTTCGAGGTTACAGTTGCGCGCTCTCTGTTCCATGCTCTCAAGTTTTGCCTCCAGGTCAGCTATCCGAGGTTCATTTGACTCCATTTTTTTCTCAAATGCCTGGACTCGGTTCCTAACATCTATTGTGTTCTTTTCGAGATTGTCATATTTATCGCTTAGGAATCGGACAGAGGTTTTAACTTCTTCGAATTCTTTCAATAATCTAGAAAGCGTTGCATCGTGCTTCCCGAACCATTTCTCCATCATAGTCGACATACTCTCTTGGAATGCCTTAAATTCTTGTCGGAGCTCGAATTCTTGACCTTTCCGGAGCGTAACGTCCGGAGCGTTGTTGTTAGACAACGAAGATGTGGATCGAGTTTGTCCAGTAGATGGTTGATCATTCGTTGCTTAAAGACCAGACTTCTTCAAACAGAACGCGTACTTAGCGCGCGTTAGGGCGTTAGCCTGACGTCGCGCTGTAGCGCCAAATTGTGTTGTTAAATTGTGCATAGTTTCATGACAAACATAGCGCTGGCGCTAGCTAGCAATACGCAACGGTATGTCGCGACGTTAGGTTGACGCTCTACGCCGCGTAAGTACACGTTTTAATTGGCGAAGCCTTTAAGGTTGGTTCCCTAGCAGTGCGCATTATTAAAGATGTAGCATATTAGTTAGATTTTTAGTTTTAGTCATTACTTTTGAAGCATCCTAATAATGCACAAATAATCCCTATTTGCCCTGGTGCACAACCCGACCAGGTGGGCAATTAAAGGGAGCATATGCCCGGCACCTGAGCGGCCACTTTTCATCCGGGACGCGACAGCCGGATATAAGCGCCAATACCGGGACTTTGCAAATCGGGATCAAGAGCAGGGTGACCAGGGCTTAGGAATGTAGAGGACGATTCGGGATAAGTAGAGACAATCAAATCTAAATGCGAGCGCCAAGTTAGGAGAAGTCCATTTAGTTTGCAAATCATTTATTATTAGATAGGTTTTTTTTGCCATAAGCAAATAGATTTTTAGAAACCACCTTAAAATTAAAAATTCACACATTATTATGCAGTTAAAATTTTTGGTTCACAGTTTTTCATCAATCTTTTGCCAGATAGGAGTATTTAATTGTAGATTTTCACGCACTGCCCTGCTCGCACTAGGATTTACCTGTCACTTGAAGGAAGAAGTTAATAAGCATATTTCACTATAAAAACTAACCAAGGGACAACTAAGTACATACGTGAAAGCAAACCCACTGTTATTACGGGGAAAGTATCGACAAGAAACACAGCAATTACATTTTACAATACGACACGGGCAGCGTTTGCGCATACAATATGCGTTTAGTTTCACTCAATTAAAGATCTTCTTACTTCGACTACTGCTCGTAGTAGTGGGTAATGCTGACATTGACCGTGGGAACTCAATTACACGTCTTTTCCTCCATAAACGATGTAAGTAAGTATAAACGATACGTTTCTTTCCTATTTTTATTTCTAGTCGAACACTGAGTAAAATTAATGAAAGCTTATAAGGAAAAAACTTATGAGGAATTAGGATATTGTACTTTGTTGTGTAGGCTGTTCTGAAACCCTACTAGTGGCAGGCTTTAATAGGCGTCTGTCATAACATGACGGACATTCCCTCCGGGAAGCGGAATCGCATTTCACTGGGTAATTCTAGCTTATAATATCCGACCCAATGCAGAAATTACTACTAACACTACCATATTAATACTGCACAAAAAGATCACTTCATAAAAGTCATACCAGTAATTTTCTGCAGTGCTTTTAAAAGGCGCTTTTTCAGCTGGTAATTTGATAGTTACAGAGGTATAGTAAGATTTGGGTGACCCATTCCATGATTCGGAAATAAATTTTAAACAGAGTGGAAAAATATTACGCAAAAAAAAACAGGACGAAAACTAAAACTTTATTCACAAAATCATGGTGACCCTACCCCTATATTGGTCAATTATCGCTGAGCTTTTCATCGCTTGATCGCGAATTTATTTCCACACGGGTAGCTGCGGTTTCCTATTGGCTAGGTAGGTTACCCGGTTAATGCAGTGAGTTTTCAAAATTAGATTATTGCTCATTCGTCTCAGGGACATGAACATTTTTGAGGATAATATGACTGAGTAATGAAAATGGATTATTATGTCAACGAAAACGACGACGCGCGACGGGTATAAGAATAAAACTTTCCTAGTATCTATTTGTTGTTGTTGCTTATGATGTCAGCTATAGTCGAGGTTGCTGGTGTTTTACAAATAACCCTATAAGAGAGAAAAAGTTGCAGTCACAATTTTATTACAATCTACCTTATTTACTTACATGATTATACACGCTGCGCTTATCCAAGTTTTCAAGATGCGGTCTCCATTCAAGAACACCATAAGTGTAATCTTTTAGGTTTTACGGTAAATGATGAGATAGTGGAGAGACTGGGAGAAGTCTCGGGACATATTGCATTTAAAGATAATTACCGTTAAAATAGTAAGACACGGGTCTTACGGTTATTAATGAGTTACATTATGTACTCACGGCTTGACGTTTCGACTGCGATGCTGCAGCCGTGGTCACAAGCAGACTGTCTGCAATTAAGACCCGTGTCCTACTATTTTCATTGAAATGGAACGTGAAAGTTTAAAATCTTAATTACCGTTAATAACCCACTCAACTTACTACGTGATTAACTTCTACTTTATACTATAAAACCAGGTGAAATACACCCAATTCGTTTTACAACCTAGCAAGGTCAAGTGGAGCCCTTTGGATCGTAAATATTCGCCTCGCCGGAGTCCTCAGTCCCTCTTGCATGACAAGAATCCTAAGACGTTTTTAACATTCCGCCGAGGCATGCATGAGGACTGTTTATGAGTTTGTTGCCTCGGATGTGGGTGTGACCCTGGAGTGGAACGTCATCCGTGACATGATACGATCATTTGGATTCTGGCAGGTTATAACAGAAAAGATATAAATCATAGATTTAGGTCAGCGGTCAACATAGGCGCGCGAAACCCTCAGGCATCCTCAGGTAACTCGAAAAAATCAAAGTCAATAAAGTCAAAATTTCTTTATTTGTACTTACAAATCGTCAAATATTTTGCTCTTAAGGAGCCTCTACATGTCTCATAATATTTTTACCTTACCAGCGCTTCGAGACCAACATTGGCAATTGCTGAGAAGAAGCGCCGCAAACTCAGTCACCACTGTCTGCCGGTTGATATATCTTCTTGAGCTACGTAAAAATATTAATATTAAGCAAGGTAGTCATAGTATTTTTTAAATTTATAGTAGGGGTAGCAAGCAACTGTCTACCCAATTGACTGTACCAATTTTCCTTCAAGTGGACGACAATTTAGAAACTAAAATGGAGCCCAACACTCGATATATAAGCATAGAAAGAAAGAAAAAAAGAAAAAGTATTTATTCAATGTAAGTACAAAATAAAATAGCAAATAGATATAATAAAACCAAACAGTAAGGTACATGCACCAAAATGGCATCTGCATAGATCTTGAAATTGCTGGAAAAACAATATTTAGTTGGATCTTACTTACTTACCTGGTGATCAAATCTTTATTTATTGACTTAATGACTTTAAAATGCATAAAAACTTGTGTAAATATCTCAAGTAGTTTCTAATTGAATTGATTTTCTTAAATTGTCAACAACATTATAAATGACTAATCCCGGATGCAGTCATGTGATGTAGTTTATCTCTTTCTTTATTTTACTATCGTAACCTGCGTCAAAGATATTAGAATAAATTGTCTTGCCTATTTTCCTTAATCCTTAAAGCACACTTAATGATAAATTTCATCAAAAATATTAATTATACTTAATGGCAATTTTATAGTTGTTCGTTTACGACATAGCATACTTAATTAAGCACGTGTACTTATACAATATAACTAAACATGAAAAATAGATCTATAAATTACTTATTTAATTAATGTTATGGCTGGCAGTGGAATGCTATAATCAATTCAAAAGCAAATCAAATCAAGCAACATAATATGCAAAAAGAAAATAACATAATTTCTAGATTTTTACATAGTAAAAGACTAAAAACACCATTACCTATGTTTTTAATTTCCAACCCAGTTCATGCATTACACATCATTTTATTAATCTGCAATTAGCGAAACCACTTGCCCGTCACGTTGCGCCGTGCCAGCCGGTGCCTTGCGCGTGCGCAACGTGCACAAACATACGGCCGTCTCGCTCGCACTCGTTGCAGACGCGCTTGGAACTGCACCTGTCTCTCTTCCCCGCGCACCTGCGTACATTTGTCCTTGACCGAGGTTTTTTATTGTTATGGAATTTTCGAACATCAATGTTTATTCCAAGAATGTTTGTTTGTTTTTATGGCAGATTTAAGGCTAATTTAAGATTGTTTTTATGAGGATGTTTGTCAATTTGGCTAGGCAAGTCATTTTCAATGCATCCTTGATGAGTTGTATTATTAAAGACTGTTTTTGTCCATCGTCTATCTTTCAATAGGTATTAAGTAAGTTAATTTAACTTAGGTGCTTTTTAATGGTTTATACATAGTCCCTATAAAAAAGATGTAGCAAGTAACGAGTTACTTCCAAGCTTGATTAGGACATTAAGTCTTAGTTGTTACAGCCCACATTATAGAATAAAGAATAGCTTCAAAACGCTGGAGCATTATAATGGGGATGTTGCCTGGGTCAAAAAGCAAGTGTTTTAATTAGTCCGTCAGTTAACNGGGATACACAAAAGGTGGCGAGCGCTGCACGGAGCGAGCGAGGCAACTTGTTTACTACGTCACTGACACACACGCACGGAGCTCGAGACGGCACGCACAGCCGGTTTGCGCCAGCGCTTGCGACGGAATCTACGTAGAAAATAACGTATCAATTGTTATATATTATAATGTGAATAAAAGCTTCGTGGAAGAATTAGGCATCTAGACTTGCACAAAATTACCAGCACAAAAGTTTCGTGGAAAAACTACGCAACTGAACTTGCACTACGACACCCACCAAATAATATCCTAAAATAAGTATGCAACAATNTGTGTGTAGATAGAAATTAAGTCAGCAGTAGCAGCAGTAGGTATCTATAGTATCCACCTACTGGAAACATATCTACGGTACCTATGTAAAGTGCGACAGTTCATTCAAATCGTTAGGCCCAGAACAGACGGTGAAACGCAACTGCAACGAAACTGCAACTTTCTGATGATTCTGATGAATGAAACTGAAAGTTTCAAGCTGCTCGCGTCATGTGTGGTCTCTCAACGGACGCTATGGCAGAAACTTAGATGCAACTCAAAAGTAACTAGCAGTTGCAGTTTCGTTGCAGTTGCGTTTCACCGTCTGTTCTGGGCCTTAGTGTTGTATAGGGACTTTTAGCGAGATAGCTTCATGGTAATCAATGCACATCAAACAAAGATATCATAGATTTAGGGATCCTTTTCGAATTAGAAAAGATATAAATAACTATTTTTTCCGACTCCTATAGTATTGTACCTACATATCAAATGATGATGGAAAATGCGAAAAAGTGGCTAATACATAAAATATACAAATTACACGTACCTATGTATGTACAATATTTTTTAAGTGTTTTTAGTCGAAGAGGAATAAGAAGTTTATTTATTATATTTTTTTTATTTCCTACTGATACATAGTCGTTATTATTATTTTTATATTCTAATTATTGTCTATTTTCGGATAAACTTTTATGGAAAATATCCACACTTTTTGAGAAAATCTATTAAATAAACCACAGTAAGAAGTTAAATTTTTACACGTTATATTGAATTATTTGTTTGAACCAAAGATTTATATTAAAAAATAATTTATTGGTAGTTTTATGAAGTCTCATTTAATTCTATATTTATGTATATTATATGCACTATATTATAGGTTAGGTATAATAAAAGATTTGTTTTAATATAAGTACTATTTAAGTGATTTTATTATGTTTTTATTTGTTAGTTATTTCTAATAGTTTTATAAATGCGTCTAGTGCTAATAAGCGAGAATAGTTAGTATGATGCAAATTATACATGTTAATAATAATTAATAATGAATAATAAAATAGAGTTGTCGATAATTTGATATTTTATTTAATATAAAATATAAGTGGATGATGTATGCATATGTTTTATATGCACATAAGTAATAGGTATGTACCTACCTATATTCTTCATTCATTAAAATTACTAAACAGAATTTGATGAAATCTTTTTTTTTATTACGATTTTGAAATAAAAATACAATACCTATAGTCTTTTTCACGTAAGATGATCCGTATGACACTTCAAGGTTATCCATATTACGCATACTAAATATGCAGAATATTTTTGAAAAAATATTTGTATTTTATTAGCAATATAATAAAAAAAAATAACTACCTTGTCTTGAAATATATGGTAAAATCTGAGTCTATTGATTATATTTTAATTAAATACCATGTAAAAATATTTTTTATTTAATGTACGAAATGTGTGAAACGGAATACATTTAGTGCTGGGGTATTTCTTGTATAATAAAATCGATTATTTACGTGGTTCATTAATCGATTGAAGTGAATACTTAGTTATTAAAAACATCACAAAAATCAACTATATTTTTCGATTATCGACTTTAATAAACGCATTAAAAATATATTAATAGTTTTTAATTTAAAGAAACAGAACCAGTACTTTTTAGGAATCGTTTTTTTGAACACGAACCATGAAAGGACATTGTCAGAAACCGCCTTAGATTCCTGGGCACAGCAGTAAAGTATCAAAATTAATCTCTTACTTTTTGAATACTTAAATATTAATTAGATTGTAACGGACACTTGAGGATTAAAAAATGAAATAATAAAAGTATTTTATATGTATTCCATAATACTATGACGACATCCGGACATTTTAGGGCGTGGCCTGCTCCATATCCTATGAAGTTCCATAATTTGTGTCGATAAAATCTATGTAAAATCGGCACAAGGCAATGCCGTACTTCATTNATCAGTGCAATGTTACAAAATGTATTTTTTTTATTTAATAGAAATAATAATGGCAGGTTGAACCAACAAGAAGGTTTTAGTTTATCAATCATAAAAATTTTCTTGACAAGATAAATGTCAAACAACTTTAATCTGAATAATTTTGAACTTTACTGACTAACAGTTAAAGATTATTTTGTCTATCTCGAGATTATTCTGTAACATAGTTTCAAAAGGTAATAATATGTGCTCGCGATTCGTTGAAGGAATCAATTTGAAAACTGACGAACCTTTTCATTCCGCGACTGTACACATCACATTAACATAGTATACTCCGGGACCCTTTCGAACCAGGGTCCAATTGGTTGGATACACAGATTATCAAGCATTTGACTCTATTGTTTTCAGTTTGGTTATCAAATGTTGGGAATGAATTAACCTAATTTTCCGAAAACAAATAAAATCATGTATCGAGCGAGAGTTAAATCAGTAATCGGTTCGATTGGTACTTAAAGCATCTCATAAAATTTGACCTTGTTTTAGAATGCAGTTCACTGTATCGTGTGGTAATTGGCTGTAGTTCATTGTAGTTTTTAGTCTCTGCCATTGTCTTGAATGGCCTGAAACTAATCATTTAGATTCACACACATTCGTCACATCCACACTAAAGACATTTTGTAAAGTTACTTTATTTTGGTTAAACTAAACATGAGATATAGCCTACTTTTTACCTTTACTTCGTCAACGTTTTCCAGATATCAATTCCCATCCCTCCAAACGTTAGGAGAAGATCTGATCACGGTCCTGGACTTCCTTCACGTTCGCTACGCCGTGGGCTTGGGAGAAGGCGCAGGCGCCAACGTCCTCGCTCGCTGTGGCCTGGCCCACCCTCGGAGGCTCCTCGGCTTGATCCTGGTCAACTGCACAGCATCCACATCATCCGTGGCTGATGCGTTCCGAAGCAGGTTCTCCAGATGGAAGGGAGCGGACATCTCGCAGTCGGAGGAGGACTTCCTGATCTACCACAAGTTCGGACACGTGAGTTTAGAGCCAGAGCCCGTATATTACGCCTACCAGGTATCTTCTTCTTTGTTTTGTATACTAACCTGATACTAATATACATTGCGGAGCCGCAGTCTTTCAAGAAAATGTTTGGGAATTTTCTTCTAAAATCACGTATGAAAAAAATGGCGGGAAACGTCTTTATTTACCTATCACTGCATTACAAATAAATTATTTGAATTTGTTGTCACCACAGGCGTAAATAAAATATGTTATGCCATGAATGCAACCAACCACTTACCAACTGGTAAGAAATGTAATGAACTGCTATAGCTTTTTATCCTATTTTAAAAAACAAGGCTTCAACTTTATTTTTTTGTGTGTTACTACTTTTCCTAGAGGCATTTCTTGTAGTGTTACTAACTTACTAACCACTATACCTTTTGTGCTTATTAGAACTCTACCTTTATTAGATACATTAGACTTCTTCTTTCCATTATTTTCTGTTAGTTTGTGTGGTTGTTGTGAATAACATCTATGTACATAAATAAGTTTTTGCATTTGCTTGTGCTTTTAAATGACTTTTTCATAGTTCCTAGTTACTGTCTCTATTCTGCTTATGTTTCTTGATTTATTTAAGTAGGTACCTAATGTAAATAGTATCTGTGTTCAGTATAATTACGTCATGGTAGGAAGACTCAGGAGTAAATAAATATGGGTACTTGTACTCATAATGATCTGAGGAAGACCCAACTTGGGGCCCATGCACACCAAGTTTTTATCAGGCGCTGTAGACGCGCGTTTTATGTTAATGGAACGCGCTGTGTACGCAAGTACAGAGTGTACAGCAATCTTTAGCAGTACAGCAAATGCGTCATAGTAAACGTGCATCTACAGCCGCGTATCCATTAGAGGCAGCCTCGGGCCGAGCGACAAAATGTAGCTAGATCCGTGCCTACGGAATTGCCCTCGCAACGAGTCATGCCTTCAGGTTAATGCAGTGTCTCCAATTCCATTAGTCCACACCGGGCGCATAGGACATCTTGCTCATCCTGCTCTTGTGTGAGCAGGATGACAAGCATGGCTCGCGAGCCCATGCGCCCATTGTGGACGCAGCTATTTGAGTAGTCACTCGATCTTGATTCTTGCCAAACTTGCCTCTAGTGGAGATCCAGCTTACGGCGCCTGAAAAGAAGTGGTGTGCATGGGCCCATAATACGCGTTATATTGTCTTATGCTATATCGCACACGTCTCCGCAGCAAATGTCAAGCGACGCGTGCGAGGCGGCTGAGCGCGAGCGAATGCTCGCCGAATACCGCTCGCGGCTGCGCGGGAACCTCAACACGCACAACATCAAGCAGTATGTGCGCGCCTTCATCAAGTGAGTGTAAAGTTTTTTAAAAGAGTGCTTGTTCACCTAGTAAGTTATATCCTTTTAAGAGAGCTCATAAAGTAAGCATAAAGTTATTCATCGTTTGAAGGTGCCATTAAACTCACCCCAATACGCATAACATCAAGCAGTCAAGTAAGCGTAATTGATGTTATCTTTATAAGATTACCACTTACTGATAGTTTACGTGGGATACCAAGGCGGAGCGGGTGCACAGCGAAGACGTCACAGATTCGAAATGTTTTTGCCGTGAATAGTAAAATTGACGAGCTGTTTGGAATTTAATCATTGACACTGTTGGTTACCCACTATTTATTTGACATTTAATTGACATATTAATTCTATTTGTATTATTAATTGGACATGATTTGTATTTCTTTCATAATGATACTATAATAAAATAAAACGACTGTCTTCTTTGAAAGCAAGAACACGAGTGAATTTATTCATAGATAAATCAGATACAAGGAAACATAGACAAAAAAGGTTTGGATTATTGTTTAAGATATTTTACAACAGATACTGTAAAATTGATTATTATTAATATGAAAATGTATTGAAATTTTTACATTTAATGAACATTATAAATTTTCTTATTCTTATTACAGTTTTTTTTTTTCAAAAAAGAAGCACAGCTCCTAGAAATGCGTGTCGTATCACCCAATTAGGTGCAGGCAGGCGAGCAGGCGTTATATAAAATTGAAGAACTGCATAACATTTAATTGACACTGGACAAATTACTAGACATGATTTGTAATATTTATTATTGATTCTGCAATTGAGTGTAATTAATAACAAAGAACCTCTATTGACATGTAGGTAATGAATATTTTTTTTTAATCCACAATGAGGAAGCTCTTAGCCTGTATCTCACCTGATAGTAAGTGATGATCAGGCCGAAGGTGAAAGCAAGCTTCACCCGGAATCCTCAACCACAGAGGAACTGGCTATCTTACCTCTAACTGCCGGAACACAACAGTGCTGTTAACATTAATTCTTATTCTAATTCCCTTTCAGCCGCAAGGACTTGATCCTCAAGGGCTGTCAACCTGACATTCTGCTGTTAACGGGCGCGCTCAGTCCATACGGCAGCGTGGTCGAGAAGATGTACAAGGAGCTCGACAAGGAGAAAGTCACCATCCTCAAGATGGAGCGGGTCGGAGACGTGCTGGCTGAGGCTGTGAGTAACTAACATCCTTCCAGCAAGGACCTGGTCCTTAAAGCCTGCCAGCCCGACATTCTGCTGCTAACGGGTGCACTCAGTCCATACGGCAGCGTNATTAGACCCCGATTACTATACATATAGAATTAAAATACTCATCAATACAAAACGAACGAGCCCAAACTCGATATAATACCTGGTCCTCAAAGGCTGTCAACCTGATATCCTGCTGCTGACAGGCGAGCTCAGTCCATACGGCAGCGTGGTCGAAAAGATGTACAAGGAGCTCGACAAGGAGAAAATCATTAAGTCCGCCACAGTGCATTGTTACTTTGTGTGCTGAAGTTTAAATAAATAAATAAAAAATCACCATCCTCAAGATGGAGCGGGTCGGAGACGTGCTGGCTGAGGCTGTGAGTAACTAACATCCTTCCAACCGCAAGGACTTGATAACCGATTGTAGTTTTTATTACTTAGGCATAAGAATTGCTATTGTTCGAATGTTTATGTCCCAGAAAGTAGATAAGTGATGACCAATCGTGCACAGTGGAAGACAAAGAATACAAAAATAGATAAAATTATGTACTTTAGTATAGGTGGTCATTAGCGATCATCATCATCATCATCATTTCAGCCATAGGACGTCCACTGCTGAACATAGGCCTCCTCTAATGCTTTCCACGTTGATCGATTGGTACCTACAAGGTGGACTGACGACATCGTAAAGGTAGCAGGGAAGCGCTAGATGCAGGCTGCTACCAATCGATCATAAGCAATAGTGTATTGTAATTTGCAAATTAATAGCCGCATCTACATAATTCTGTATTCTGTAAAGAAAAAATTAGATTCAACATTATCTATCTAATTACTAGCTACAGCTCTTGGTTCTGGATATTATAAAAGCAAAGAGCAGACAACGAGTGTTCTCATTATCATAAACAGGATAAAATCTCTCAGTAACAATGTAAATAATCATTCTGCAGTCAATCAACGAGAAAAACATTACTATGCAAGCATTTTCCTCCCAATCTTAGTTGATAACTTACCCATTGACCCCATAATTACGCTCTGCCTACCACTGCGCCTCGTGTCTGTTGCTGCTTATTAAGCATTTCCAGTTCACGATGCAGTTGCAATCATCCGTCCGCTATTACAGAAGCGAAAGTAAAAGTAAGAGTGCGCCAGTCGTTGCGTCGCTGGTGCGGACCGCGCTCGCGTCGATGTTAACTAAAACATTTTACTTNGAAGTGTTAAAGATTATTTTCTATAACTCGAGATTATTCTGTAACATAGTTTCAAAAGGTAATATGTGCTCGCGATTCGTTGAAGGAATCAATTTGAAAACTGACGAACCTTTTCATTCCGTGACTGTACAAGGAGCTCGACAAGGAGAAAGTCACCATCCTCAAGACGGAGCGGGTCGGAGACGTGCTGGCTGAGGCTGTGAGTAACTAGCATCCTTCCAGCAAGGACCTGGTCCTCAAGGGCTGTCAACCTGACATTCTGCTGTTAACGGGCGCGCTCAGTCCATACGGCAGTGTGGTCGAGAAGATGTACAAAGAGCTCGACAAGGAGAAAGTCACCATCCTCAAGATGGAGCGGGTCGGAGACGTGCTGGCTGAGGCTGTGAGTAACCAAACGATCTTCCAGGAACTTCACTATCGATAATAGTTTTTATTACCTACTCCTAAGAATTGCTATTGTAAAAATGTTAATGTCGCAGTTTGGGGGAGACCTATATTCAGCAGAGGACGTCCTGTGGCTGAAATGATAATGTCACAGAAAGTAAATCGACGAAGAATACAAATAGATGAAATTGTATACTCATGGGCATCCATGCGGAACATCATAGTATTGTAGGTCATTAGCGACACGTTAATACGCCTATTGTTGTAAAATTAAATTTTCAAATGGCTACTACATCATTTTGTGGCGTGGGCAGGCCTCCTACTAGGTGGACCGACGATCTGGTAAAGGTCGCGGGAAGAGCCTGGATGCGGGCATTTTGAACTAGTAAAACAAAATTAGATTTGATTTTTTTAATGCATAACAAGGCAGTTATTTGACCACAATAGCACCTGATGTTAAGTGGGATGCAGTCTAGAATGGTACATATCTGCCCTGTAATTGAATCCGTTTAATACTTTAATAGGTATAGCCAGAATTAAGAGCAATGATCAGACAACGAGTGTACTCATCATCATTAACAGGATAAAATCTCTCAGTAACAATGTTATTAATAGCACGATTAAATTAAAATAATCATTCTGCAGTCAATCAACGAGAAAATCATCTATGCAAGCATTTTCCTCCTAATCTTAGTTGATAACTTACCCAATGACCCCATGATTACGCTCTGCCTACCACTGCGCCTCGTGTCTGTAGCTGCTTATTAAGCATTTCCAGTTCACGATGCAGTTGCAATCATCCGTCCGCTATTACAGAATGCCGCGAAAGTAAAAGTAAGAGTGCGCCAGTCGTTGCGTCGCCGGTGCGGACCGCGCTCGCGTCGATGTTAACTAAAACGTTTTACTTGCAATCTCTTCTTAAACTTATGTTAACTCTCAACATAATAGGATATCCGTGGCCACCGTTTAAACTGCGTCGGCTCAGTGAAGTGTCGTGACCATGACATATCCTCTCAAGATGAGAACTTCAACTAAAATCCAGTGCGTCTGTTACGGACTCTTAATCTTAGCACTGTACTACAAACCGTACATAGTTTACGTCCTCCTCCAAATCGTTATGGTCGGGGGCATGGTAGTTGGACTTTATCAGAAGAATACAAACTTAATGTGCAAATCCAAGAAGTCGTTGATCGGCAGAACAGCGATAGTCACCGGAGGCACAACCGGGATGGGCTTGGAGATAGCAGCTGACTTCGCGCATCGAGGAGCCAAAGTTATAATAGCGTGCCCTTTCAAAGACGAGGGTCTGCATGCTAAGAAGCTTATCGAAAGAAGTTCTGGCAGCGATAAGATAATTTTTAAATTACTAGATCTGTCATCTTTTACATCAATACGCCGGTTCGCAGCGGATATATTAGAAACGGAGGACAGATTGGACCTTCTGATCAATAACGCCGGGGTGGGCGTCCCGGATGACTTCCTGACGGCCGACGGGCTGCCCTTCATCATACAAGTGAACTACTTCGGCACGTTCCTGCTGACTGTGTTACTCCTGCCGCTTCTGAAGAAGACCGGTGCACCATCAGAACCGAGTAGGATAGTGAATACAGCCTCCATCCTCCACAAGTTTGGGAAGGTGGATTTCGAGAAGTGGCATAAGGTCGACAATAATTACTCCAAAATGCGGAAGTACGGGACGAGCAAATTGGCTTTGGTGATGTTTACCCGCGAGCTGAGTGTTAGGCTGAAGGATTCAAACGTGATCGTGAACGTTGTTGATCCTGGTGCGGTGGGGACTGCGATATTCAAGAGTTCTGGGCGAAACTGGGGTACTTTCTTCGCTTTCATGATAGGGATTCTATTTAAACATCCCTGGGAGGGCGCTCAGACGGCCTTGTATGTCTCGCTGAGCTCCACGGTGGGCAAGATGAGCGGGAAGTACTTCAAAAACCTGAAGGTGGCTCTTCCGGCAGCCGCAGCTAACAATGAGGAGGTTTCAAAACGCCTTTGGGACGAAACAGTGAACCTCGTAAAGTTGAAAGACGAGGAGTTGTGTTGCATATCGTGATGTGTACAAGGTTTGCAATGTTGAGTAGGATACTAATGTATTACAAGGTTCGTGATTCCTGTCTGTGTAATATTTACACGTTAATGAAGTGGTTTGAAGTGTAATTGATACAGGATTTTTATGTAAGTCCTAATTAACCAGAACGAAGACACCTATTAAAAATACAATATTAATGAATGGACATAACTACTGTACAATAATAAAATATAATATTTTAATAAACTGTTCGGGTATAAAGCAGTTTTTATTTTTATTTCCAATATCCTTTCTAATATAAACGAGAATTATACCTACTCTGAATTATTGTAATGTATCTTGACAACAGAGTCGCACTTTTTAGTAGTTACCCGATTTATGTGTAGGTATAATTCGCCATTTGCGTCTGGTGAATCAGATAGCATTGTGCAACGGAGACTAAATGACATGAAGATGATGATTAAAGACCTACGAGTATAATTAGTATGCTTCTAGCAAAGTTTTATATCTTTCTCGAATTTGACTCGCCGTAAGGGTTTTGAATAAAACATTCTCACCCTTTTATTACAAAAAGTTATATTCGCGTTGATCACTAGATATTGATATTTAGTATGGAAATGTCATTTGAAACCAGTTTTCATCGCACGTTTAACTTTTTGTAATAAGGCCTACCTACTAGGTTTTCTTCCCTTCATGGTAGACAGATGACCTCATAAAAGTAGCAAGAAGGCGCTGGATGCAGGCCGCTGCCAACCGGTAATCTGGGAATCATTGGGGGAGGCCTGTGTTCAGCAGTGGACGTCCTATGGATGATATTGCAGGAAGGCGCTAGATGCAGGCCGCTGCCAACCGGCCAATCTGGGAATCATTGGGGGAGGCCTATGTTCAGCAGTGGACGTCCTATGGTTGAGATTACAGGAAGGCGCTGGATGCAGGCCGCTGCCAACCGGCTAAGTTGGAAGAGCAGTCGCCCGGCAAGCGAAAGGTCATGGGTTCGATTCCCGCCTTAGGCAGTTCGATTTTTTCAAGTTGTTTATATAAAATTTTATTTGGAATTCATTAGGGCTTAGGCCCAGAACAGACGGTGAAACTGGTGAAACGCAACTGCAACGAAACTGCAACTGCTAGTTACTTTTGAGTTGCATATAAGTTTCTGCCATAGCGTCCGTTGAGAGACCACACATGACGCGACCAGTTTGAAACTTTCAGTTTCAGTTTCATTCATCAGAAAGTTGCAGTGTCGTTGCAGTTGCGTTTCACCGTCTGATCTGGGCCTTGGGCTTAAAGTTTAGTGGTGGATGTCTTTGCTGACCATAAAGATGATGATGAGTTTTCTTCCTTTTTTCAACAGCCAGCCAAAGTGGCGCAATCGCTGCTGCTCTTCTGCCAAGGGCAGGGCCTGCTGACGTCACTTCCACCGCCGGGTGTGGAGCGGCGTATGTCCCGCGCCATGTCCATGGAAGAATACGACAAGCCAAACATCCGGCGGCTGTCGCTGACGCCGGCCGCCGACTCGCCGCCGCCGCGCAAACTTTAGGCACGCATCGCCGCTCTGCCGGAGTAGCGAGGACGGAGCGGTGGATGATAGGTACCGAAACGGTTGAATTCGTAAAGCCTGGTCCGTGAGCACGTAGAATTTTGTCCAATGACCCCAAGCTACCCATCCTTATCGCTCGCGCGTAATTATGTTGCTGTTGCGCTCGCACACTCACTGCGGGCGCCCGTTGCTCACNTAATAATCCCAACTAATATTATAAATGCGAAAGTAACTCTGTCTGTCTGTCTGTCTGTCTGTCTGTCTGTCTGTCTGTTACGCTTTCCCGCTTAAACCTCGCAACCGATTTTGATGAAATTTGGCATAGAGATAGTTTGAGTCCCGGGAAAGAACATAGGATAGTTTTTATCCCGGTTTTTGAAACAGGGACGCGCGCGATAAAGTTTTTCTGTGACGGACAAAATTCCACGCGGGCGAAGCCGCGGGCGGAAAGCTAGTAAAATATAATCTTTTAATAAAGTGTTTGTGTATATTATTTTTATTTCCAATACCTTTTCTATAAAAGAAAATTATACCTACTTTAAATTATTGTAATGTATCCTGAAAACAGAGTCCCACTTTTAAGTCACTAGGTAGTAGATTTTCTTTACCCGATTTATGTGTTTAATCCGCCATTTGCGTCTGGTGAATCAGATAGGATTGTGCAACGGAGACTAATGACATGTTTTCTCGAATTTGACTTGCCGCGCCGCCGTGTGGGTTTTGAATAAGTAAAACATTCTCACCCTTATTACAAAAAGTTATATTTGCGTTGATCACTGGATATTGATATTTAGTATGGAAATGTCATTTGAAACCAGTTTTCATCGCACGTTTAACTTTTTGTAATAAGGCCTACCTACTAGGTTTTCTTTCCTTTATGGTAGACAGATGGCCTCATAAAAGTAACAAGAAGGTGCTGGATGCAGGCCGCTGCCAACTGGCTAATCTAGGAATCATTGGGGGAGGCCGATGTTCAGCAGTGGACGTCCTATGGATGATATTGCAGGAAGGCGCTGGATGCAGGCCGCTGCCAACCAGCTAATATGGATATCATTGGGGGAGGCCTGTGTTCAGCAGTGGACGTCCTATGGCTGAGATTGCAGGAAGGCGCTAGATGCAGGCCGCTGCCAACCGGCTAAGTTGGAAGAGCAGTCGCCCGGCAAACGAAAGGTCATGGGTTCGATTCCCGCCTTAGGCAGTTCGATTTTATCAAGTTGTTTATTTAAAATTTCATTTGGAATTCATTAGGGCTTAGGCCCAGAACAGACGGTGAAACTGGTGAAACGCAACTGCAACAAAACTGCAACTGCTAGTTACTTTTGAGTTGCATCGAAGTTTCTGCCATAGCGTCCGTTGAGAGACCACATGACGCGACCAGTTTGATACTTTCAGTTTCAGTTTCATTCATCAGAATCATCAGAAAGTTGCAGTGTCGTTGCAGTCGCGTTTCACCGTCTGATCTGGGCCTTAGGCTTAAAGTTCAGTGGTGGATGTCTTTGCTGATCATAAAGATGATGATGAGTTTTCTTCCTTTTTTCTACAGCCAGCCAAAGTGGCGCAATCGCTGCTGCTCTTCTGCCAAGGGCAGGGCCTGCTGACGTCACTTCCGCCGCCGGGTGTGGAACGGCGTATGTCCCGCGCTATGTCGATGGAGGAATACGACAAGCCAAACATTCGGCGGCTGTCGCTGACGCCGGCCGCCGACTCGCCGCCGCCGCGCAAGCTTTAGGCACGAGTCGCCGCTCTGCCGGAGTAGCGAGGACGGAGCGGTGGATGATAGGTACCGAAACGATTGAATCGTAGTAGATGTTGCAAAAATATATTGAAAATCAGAGGTACAGTGTAGAGTAGTATCAAAAGCATTCTAGTTGTTGGCAATACGCCGCTGTTTTTTAATTTATTACAAAGAATTTAATGGGTGACTATAACTAAAGCCTGGTCCGTGAGCACGTAGAATCTCGTCCAATGACCCCAAGCTACCCATCCTTATCGCTCGCGCGTAATTATGTTGCTGTTGCGCTCGCACACTCACTGCGGGCGTCCGTTGCACAGTCGCGACAGCAATATAATTACACACGAGTGATAAGCAAAATTCTACGTGCTCACGGACCAGGCTTTAGTAGATGTTGCAAAAATATATTCAGAATCGATGGAAAAATGTAGAGTAGTATCAAAAGCATTCTAGTTATTGGCAATACGCCGCTGTTTTTTAATTTAACACAAAGAATTTAATGGGTAACTATACCTATAAATAAACATTCATCAAAACCAAAGGGAAAATCGTAAAATAATAATTTACCTTCCCGTACAAACTTCGGTAGCCAACTGTTAACTTTGTAAGGAAGGCAAAATTTTTTATGATTAGATTGTTTTTAAGAGTGTAGTCACCTATTTTTAGTTTTTGGACTAGGTAATATTAAAAAACAACGGTGTATATTCGATAGTAGTTACCAACATGTTTGATGTACTAGCGGTGATGGTAATAGAGGAAAGATTTTGGGATTTTACAATCAGTATGCATGTAGATACCAATTTAAATGATTATATCACAATGATTATACATCTAGGTAATTGATGTGTGTANTATAATAAAAAAAAAATAACTACCTTGTCTTGAAATATATGGTAAAATCTGAGTCTATTGATTATATTTTAATTAAATACCATGTAAAAATATTTTTTATTTAATGTACGAAATGTGTGAAACGGAATACATTTAGTGCTGGGGTATTTCTTGTATAATAAAATCGATTATTTACGTGGTTCATTAATCGATTGAAGTGAATACTTAGTTATTAAAAACATCACAAAAATCAACTATATTTTTCGATTATCGACTTTAATAAACGCAATTATTACGCGATTATCGACTTTAAAAATATATTAATAGTTTTTAATTTAAAGAAACAGAACCAGTACTTTTTAGGAATCGTTTTTTTGAACACGAACCATGAAATTTGAATATTATCAATAAAAAATTGTTACAATAATATTTGTAATTAAAAAAAACATGTTTTTTGTTAAATAACACCCATACAAAATATTTCTCTAAAAGTAGGTTTTACTAACTCTTCGAAAAAAATCGATAGATAAATCGCTATGGTTTAGTTATGTGACATCTCTAAATCTTTCAAACTCGAAACGTCATACGGATCATCTTAGGTGAAAAAGACTATAGGTAATTATAAAATGTGCTTTTTTCCAATGCAGGTTTGCAGACCAAGTCTAATTTAAATCAATTTTCCATTTCATCTCTTTCACGAAACCTCAAACCAGAATCTTGCACGGGCTAATTGGATATCTCCATTTACTTTTAATTCCTTTAATTTTCGTCCCAGACCTGTCTAGGGAATTAATCGCGTCTCCACATAGTCTTTTGTGGGGTCTAATTTAGTCGCATTCAGGTAAGCACATCTCTGGTCTCATTTACCGGAATTTAATCCGATGGAGGGTAGTCGATGTAGAATAGTGATGTGCCGACAACTTTCCATGATCCATGGGGATCGAGTATTTTATTAAAATTTCATTCTCATTCATTCATTACAGTCTCAGGACATCCACTGCTGAACATAGGCCTCCCTCAATGATTTTCTTTGGCGGGTTGTTAGCGACCTGCATCCAGCGCCTTGCTGCTTCTTTGTCTTGGGGTTGTCTGTCCACATTGGGCACCAAATTAATTATTTTTTTATTATTAGGTCTTTATCTATGGAATGACACAGATTTTTCCTTTAAAATTCATGACGTTACAATAACAGTATTTAAAAGCTTATTTTTTTTACTAATAACAATAACAATTCTATTTTTTTTATACTAATGTTTACTTACATCTACGCACAAATTATTTTTTTATTTAATCGTAATTGATAATCTATTTAAGTTTAAACGATTAGGAAGTAGCCCAACCAATAGCGGTTATCTCGTGGAATCCAAAACACAACTTTCGCCGGCCCCATCCCTAAGCGACTAAGCAGATTACAATATTCGAGTGTCTGTCTGCCCTAACAACGGGACTTGGCGACTTGTTAGCAAGTTTGCCTTGTTATAACTCGCGGCGCAGTATCATATGCCGAGCTGCACTCGCTGCAGGTATCCCTCTTTGGAACTTATGTTTTGATAGTTGGAGAAGAAAATTACGAGTGCACAAAGAATGGATCGGGTATTGGGAATAAAATAACGAAAGGATATAACAGAGTCTGACCTGAGGTGGAATTGTGTAAAGCAATCGTTACTTATCATTTGACAGTTCATAACGTACTATTATTCTGTCAAACGCTTTGTTTAACTGACTTTATCGGACGTTATGAACTGTCAAATGATTACGATTGCTTTACACAATTCCACCTCTGATTATGGCCTGATATGGAATAATGAAATAAAAGAGCTCTAATAGGTACAATATCAATATTGTATTGATCACAAAAAGATATTGACATCTTTTAAGTTTGCTAGAGACTAGTTCGTAATACTTGTAGAATCTAACTACACATTAACAAGGAAATCTCTGAATTTTTTTTAGTTACAACATCTCTTACATTAAAAAGCTACAATACATTTTACAGTAAAAAACTACGAAACATAATAATAATGAAAGTCTTCAAGAAAAATGCCTCTACTAATGAGACTGACTTAGAACTTAGAAGTCTTACGTGTGTGGCTCTTTTCGACTACGAAAAAACTAAAACAAATGAAAACACAAGGAAAAAGTAAATTAACAAACAAATACTTAGCCCGGGTAAACGTTGTCACGTGTTAACGTAACCGGGTACCCGTGTCACGGGACCCGGATTAGTTAACGAGATTAGAGAAGCGAAAAACGCGAGACAATGAACTCCGGGCCCAATGTGGGACTTGCTGTAATGTGGCCACGTAAAAACATCATCCGTGACTGTTACAGTGACGCCAGAAGTAATTATTTTGCCCCGTATTAAAGTATTAGGAATGATGTTGTAAATATTTCTTAGTACACGTCCAACACAAAGTATTGTCAATCAAATCAAATAATTTATTCAGTACTTAAGGCCTTTCCAGCTGGGCTTGGATGCGCGTCGTGATAAAATCTTATCGATGATTCTAGACGACAAACGTATGGACTTATCACGTAAAATCGATAAAATGGCGCCATAAATACTTATCGCGGCGCGCATCTTAGGCCTACAGAGCGTATAAACATGTCCCAAATATAGCTTGCTCTACCATTACTACAACATAATGGGCCGGTGCTGAGAAGAAGTGTAAGAAACTAATGCCCGTTTTCACCATCAATCCCTAATTTTTAAGTAACCCCTTAGTAACACATAACAAGAATTTTGTTTTCATAGGGGTCACTTAAATCTAAGGGTTTGATGGTGAAAACGGGCATTAGACAATTAAAAAAGAGAAAATCATTACTTGTAGTTTTATTTCCACGCAGCACCAAAACCTTTCACAGAGAAAACTTGGAAACAACGAATCCATTTTGGAGTCGTCGACTTATACAAATTTGGATAGAGTTCACGAAAAAAAATGTATTTTAAGAGCAAAATTTAACGTGGGTGCGATTAAGCATGCCAAAGAGCTTAATTTAAAAAAAATACCTGCCTTTTTTATTCGTAGGTAGAATGTCAGAGAATTTTATTTGGATACAATTTAATCTGGTTATGGGACATAATTCGCCCGGATACATAAATATCCATACGTTTTCATAAGTACTCTATTAAAATAAAGCATAGACATTTTAGACAAGTTTTTTCTGTTAGTGATCGAGCACTAAGCTCATAAAAACCCATTATAAGTTTTGAATTTACTTCACATACCTATGTATACAATATTTTAGAGCTTTAAGAGAGCCATTACTTGTAGGTACCTAAAAGAAGTGTACGAGTGAATTGGATTCGTTGTATGCTACACTTAAAAAACTAAAGTTGTGACTAAAATAAGTAAGTACCGACTCGGAAAAATTACAGAATTGAACCAATTGCATCTCAACTTGCAAGTAATTGCAATTTAATGGCAATTACACAACAGTAACATATGGACAAAAACTCTTTGATGTACAAATTGGGGTTGTCCCTGGCCGAGACGGACACTGATTAAAAACGTTTCACACACTGCAAATAATCCAAAAATAACGAGCTAGCAATTAAATATGGCTTTGAGACAAACATTGGACGGGGCGCGCTTCAAAGGGCGCAGATAGCGAGTCATGGAAGATACGACAGTGTGGTGTAGGGTGGCCATTTACGAGTAAAATAAGGGAAAGAAATAGAAAAAAACAAGAGTAATTTTTTAGACTGTGTTTTGCTGTTTTGGGTGACTATTTATGAGTAAACAATAGACCATTTACGGTGAGAGATAATTGACAAAAAGTAGTAATTGTAAGTATCGGCTACTTGCTTATGGAAATCGAATTTTAACTTTGAATGATTTGAAATAGATTTTCTGTTTACGTTATTATCATCATTTGTAATAACGTGCATTCAAAATGTTTATTAACTAACAAGTGATAATTTGAAATACGAACGTGTTTTGTTATTCTAAGTCACCAGTTTTGCTAGTTATTATTTGTTTTATACAATATGATATGTTGTTATAACAAATTATGAATGCAAGTAAATTATGCGTTTTTTTTCAGGGCTAGTCCTTCTATATCCAGAAGCATGGTGCCACCAAATGAGTTCTCTAGTTAAAAGGCTTATAGGTTTCCTTTTGTGCCAGTAAATATTTGCTAAGCGGTTTGTGTTTGAGGGATTTGTAATTGAACGCTCGCGTGCTTTAGGATTACCGGTCTGCCTATTAAAAAGAGTTTGCACATGACTCATTCTGCATTAATTGAAATCGTTCACTGAATCTACCCTTATAGTTAAAGGTTTTATTTAATAACAATTAATGAAAATTGTAGCAAATATTGAATTCAGTTAAAAAAAAACATTCAAACTTGGCAAAAAATTTAATATTTTCCGTTTTGTTACCACGTTTCATTTGTAACTCAAGTTNGTCGTTTTTTTAGACCTACTGGTCAAACGTACTCCAACACCCATACAAAATATTTCTCTAAAAGTAGGTTTTACTAACTCTTCGAAAAAAATCGATAGATAAATCGCTATGGTTTAGTTATGTGACATCTCTAAATCTTTCAAACTCGAAACGTCATACGGATCATCTTAGGTGAAAAAGACTATACCTACTTATGAATTTGACTGAGCGAAGTAGTGTGTTGCATTGTGTGCACTCTTGTTTAAGATAAAATAATTTCGAAAAAGCTTAGTGGTGGATTGCTATTGTGTATCTACCTATAGAAGATACGTGTTATTACTCTTCTACTCGACAGCAAATGAAAGCCATAAATGAAATAAAAACATTTTATTAAATGCGGACATCAGACGGAACACTCGATTTTTCAATGTGCATGTGGATTGAGTGATCCTTGCTTCAATCTTAACAAAAATCGAGGAAGTTTTACTTAAAATATGTTAAAACATTGCGATGAAGTTTAAAAATTTGTTAAACCTAAGATAAAAATGTTATGGCCAATAAATAGGAGCACTCATACCGCACGCTTTAAGAAAACGTCAACATGCTTATTTCAGAAAATAAAGCCTTTCCACTTCTATTTATAGTATAGAAAAATTGTTAAGAATATGTTAAAACTATTAACAAATTCAGAAATTCCTTGCACGTCCCGTTCCAAAGTTATGACGATTATTTAGGATCACTCACACCGCACACGGGCCGTACGAGTGCTCTTCAAAATGATGACTTTTTATTAATAAATACGTTTTATTTCTGTTGGGAAATGTGTGCAAACTGACGAGCGAATTTGTTAAAGAATAAGTGTGACAAAACTTAAAAGCTGAAGGAAGAAATTAATCAGAATCGATGGAAAAATGTAGAGTAGTATCAAAAGCATTCTAGTTGTTGGCAATACTCCGCTGTTTTTTACTTTATTACAAAGAATTTAATGGGTGACTATACCTATAAATAAACATTCATCAAAACCTAAGGGAAAATCGTAAAATAATAATTTACCTTTCCGTACAAACTTCGGTAGCCAACTGTTAACTTTGTAAGGAAGGCAAAATTTTTTATGATTAGATTGTTTTTAAGAGTGTAGTCACCTATTTTTAGTTTTTGGACTAGGTAATATTAAAAAACAACGGTGTATATTCGATAGTAGTTACCAACATGTTTGATGTACTAGCGGTGATGGTAATAGAGGAAAGATTTTGGGATTTTACAATCAGTATGCATGTAGATACCAATTTAAATGATTATATCACAATGATTATACATCTAGGTAATTGATGTGTAGGTAGAAATTAAGTCAGCAGTAGGCATCTATAGTACCTACCTACTGGAAACATATCTACGGTACCTATGTAAAGTGCGACAGTTCATTCAAATCGTTAGGCCCAGAACAGACGGTGAAACGCAACTGCAACGAAACTGCAACTTTCTGATGATTCTGATGAATGAAACTGAAAGTTTCAAACTGCTCGCGTCATGTGTGGTCTCTCAACGGACGCTATGGCAGAAACTTAGATGTAACTCAAAAGTAACTAGCAGTTGCAGTTTCGTTGCAGTTGCGTTTCACCGTCTGTTCTGGGCCTTAGTGTTGTATTCATGGTAATCAATGCACATCAAACAAAGATATCATAGATTTAGGGATCCTTTTCGAATTAGAAAAGATATAAATAACTATTTTTTCCGACTCCTATAGTATTGTACCTACATATCAAATGATCATGGATAATGCGAAAGAGTGGCTAATACATAAAATATACAAATTACACGTACCTATGTATGTACAATATTTTTTAAGTGTTTTTAGTCGAAGAGGAATAAGGAGTTTATTTATTATATTTTTTTTATTTCCTACTGATACATAGTCGTTATTATTATTTTTATATTCTAATTATTGTCTATTTTCGGATAAACTTTTATATGATAATGAAAATATCCACACATTTTGAAAAAGCTAAACGAACCACAGTAAGAAGTTAAATTATTACAAGTTATATTGAATTATTTGTTTGAACCAAAGATTTATATTAAAAAAAAAATCATTGGTAGTTTTATGAAGTCTCATTAAATTCTTTATGTATTTTATATGCACTATATTATAGGTTAGGTATATTAAAAGATTTCTTTTAATATAAGTACTATTTAAGTGATTTTATTATGTTTTTATTTGTTAGTTATTTCTAATAGTTTTATAAATGCGTTGCTAATAAGCGAAAATAGTTATTATGATGAAAATTATACAATTATAATAATAAAGATGAAGTAACTAATAAAATAGAGTTGTTGATAATTTGTTATTTTATTTGTTCTCTCAAATATTTCTATCTATCTACTCGTAGAGGGTTATTTTTGTATTTTATAACATTAAAAGAGGATGAAGTATGGATGTTTTTTAAAAACAGATTCTTCGGATTCTTCTTCATTCATGCAAGTTACTAAACGGAATTTGATGAAAACTTTTTTTATTAAGATTTTGAAATAAAATTACAATAAGTATGAACTTGACTGAGCGAACTTACTTACTTTAACTTTGACAAACGTCTAAAATCTGCCAACTCCATACAAAAAACACCGGTTATCGTCATACTTACGGTCAAAGTTAGGTGGTGCAACTCACCCTTAGTGTGTTACGTGACATGTGCACTCCTGAATAAGATAAAATTCCAAAAATGCAAGTGGTGGAGTGCTCTTTGTGTACCTACCTATAGAAATGATACGTATGTACTCTTCTACCCTACAGCACAAATGAAAGCCATAAATGAAATAAAAACATTTTATTAAACGCGGACATCAGACGGAACACTCGATTTTTCATTGTTTTACACATACACGGACGGACACAAACTACACATTACACTTACAATAACGCGATCCCTCCGCACACTGCGCGATTCGCCACAAAACACGTCCAAAAATCATGCGTAAATACATAGTAAAATGTGTAAAATTCTCCAAAAATATAGTTTCTCCGTCCAGTATTTGCTGAGAAAATTTAGCAAAAATCCAAAAATAAAAAAAATATAAAAGACGTCGCAAGACTGCTGGGAGAAGAAACTGAAAAACGGTGAGGGAGTGTTCTCGGGCTTAATTATCAGATTTGATAGATCTTTCTTGATAGTTTTCCACAGAAGTGACAAGTCAGAGGCAACTGTACAACTCCACGATCTTCCATTGTTTCTTCGTTCCCTTCACGCCTCAGTAGCTGAGGCAACTCGAGCACCGCCCGACCTCGGCGGACATTTTCGTACCTTTAATTAATTTCGACTGAACTGCCATATTTAACATTATCAAAGCGGCCGCGGTTTTGGGCGTCCGCTCCGGCGACGACTGCCCGGCCGCCTGCCAGCTGAGGCCAGCGTCCGACGCGGACTGTGCACAGTCGGCTAGGTATGGATCAGGTAGGCATAAATTTGCTGGTAGGTCTGGATTGTGTTGAGTACTATAGCATCTTGGCTAGATATTATGGAACTTCTTTGTGTAACTTCGCCTGTTATTCTTCAACATAGCTTTAGACAGATTCTCCAAAATTTCAAAGTTTGTGAAGTCTGAAGACATCGCGAGTTTTTCCTCCAATAATTTTGTCTGGTTCGGCGACACATTTCCATGATCTCAATTTTCTATTAGCTTTGTTAAACCGTGGAGCTGGCAGTCTCGCATCGCATGCGGCGAGTTCGCGTGACGTCACAACTGAACGGCGCCAGATGACGTCGCGGCGGTGACGTCAGAGCTCGTCGTCGCAGCCGGGCTGCATGTCGGACGTCTCGATGGCGACCTCGTCGTAGTCCCGCTCGAGCGCCGCCAGGTCCTCCCGTGCTTCGGAAAACTCGCCTTCTTCCATACCTTCGCCTACGTACCTGCAACAAATTAGACTTATTACAATGTGCAGTAAAAAATGTCGGGATGTAGGTGCTTCATTAGTTTCCAGAATTATTTTTCTATGACCATAAATCGGAGGACAAGTGTCAGAACGGAGGACAAGTGTCAAGAACGGAGGACAAGTGTCAGAACGGAGGACAAGTGTCAGAACGGAGGACAAGTGTCAGAACGGAGGACAAGTGTCAGAACGGAGGACAAGTGTCAGAACGGAGGACAAGTGTCAGAACGGAGGACAAGACGTGTCAGAACGGAGGACAAGACGTGTCAGAACGGAGGACAAGACGTGTCAGAACGGAGGACAAGACGTGTCAGAACGGAGGACAAGACGTGTCAGAACGGAGGACAAGACGTGTCAGAACGGAGGACAAGACGTGTCAGAACGGAGGACAAGACGTGTCAGAACGGAGGACAAGACGTGTCAGAACGGAGGACAAGACGTGTCAGAACGGAGGACAAGACGTGTCAGAACGGAGGACAAGACGTGTCAGAACGGAGGACAAGACGTGTCAGAACGGAGGACAAGACGTGTCAGAACGGAGGACAAGACGTGTCAGAACGGAGGACAAGACGTGTCAGAACGGAGGACAAGACGTGTCAGAACGGAGGACAAGACGTGTCAGAACGGAGGACAAGACGTGTCAGAACGGAGGACAAGACGTGTCAGAACGGAGGACAAGACGTGTCAGAACGGAGGACAAGACGTGTCAGAACGGAGGACAAGACGTGTCAGAACGGAGGACAAGACGTGTCAGAACGGAGGACAAGACGTGTCAGAACGGAGGACAAGACGTGTCAGAACGGAGGACAAGACGTGTCAGAACGGAGGACAAGACGTGTCAGAACGGAGGACAAGACGTGTCAGAACGGAGGACAAGACGTGTCAGAACGGAGGACAAGACGTGTCAGAACGGAGGACAAGACGTGTCAGAACGGAGGACAAGACGTGTCAGAACGGAGGACAAGACGTGTCAGAACGGAGGACAAGACGTGTCAGAACGGAGGACAAGACGTGTCAGAACGGAGGACAAGACGTGTCAGAACGGAGGACAAGACGTGTCAGAACGGAGGACAAGACGTGTCAGAACGGAGGACAAGACGTGTCAGAACGGAGGACAAGACGTGTCAGAACGGAGGACAAGACGTGTCAGAACGGAGGACAAGACGTGTCAGAACGGAGGACAAGACGTGTCAGAACGGAGGACAAGACGTGTCAGAACGGAGGACAAGACGTGTCAGAACGGAGGACAAGACGTGTCAGAACGGAGGACAAGACGTGTCAGAACGGAGGACAAGACGTGTCAGAACGGAGGACAAGACGTGTCAGAACGGAGGACAAGACGTGTCAGAACGGAGGACAAGACGTGTCAGAACGGAGGACAAGACGTGTCAGAACGGAGGACAAGACGTGTCAGAACGGAGGACAAGACGTGTCAGAACGGAGGACAAGACGTGTCAGAACGGAGGACAAGAGTCAAGCCGAAGGACAAGTGTCAAGCCGGAGGACAAGTGTCAAGCCGGAGGACAAGTGTCAAGCCGGAGGACAAGTGTCAAGCCGGAGGACAAGTGTCAAGCCGGAGGACAAGTGTCCAGCCAGAGGACAAGTGTCCAGCCAGAGGACAAGTGTCCAGCCAGAGGACAAGTGTCCAGCCAGAGTACAATATCCCTCAGGACAAAATATATCGAACCAGACGACAAAATAATGTCAAACAAGAGGATGAATGTCCCTCCCGTACTCAAATGCAATATGCATCAACTTACCAGTGCACGAAGGCCCGCTTGGAGTACATGAGGTCGAACTTGTGGTCGAGCTTGCCCCACGCCTCGGCGATGGCGGTGGTATTGGACAGCATGGAGGCGGCTCGCTTCACCTGCGCCAGGTCGCCGCCCACCACCACCGATGGGGGCTGGTAGTTTATGCCCACCTGTGGGGGAATAAGTTAGGGGATAAGCCTAGATTATAAGATGGTTTATAATAGACCTAGAAGGGATCCTTCCTGTTTTAAAGCATCGTTCCAGAATTCTACAATAGCATGCAATATTTGTAAGTCTGTCCAGAAGGGAATATTTGAATCTAAAAAGCTTACCTTTTATGGAAGTCGCAGTTCGATGATTTCGTTTTTCGTCTTTCGTTTTCGTTCGTGATTCGTCTTTTCTTTTTGCTCGTCAATAAGGTTTAACACGAATTAAGTTTATTCCTTTTAAAATAATGTGCAGGCTTGATTTTATGCCTTACATAAATCTGGCGCGTCCTTTTCCATTGAACATCCTTGGGTAAGACGTTCCAGCGGTACAGCAGGCAGCACGCAATGTACTTCCCCGATGATAGATTACTAACGGTCTAGGGAAAGGTTAGGCACCCCCTGACTAAGTGAAACTCGCTTTGAATCATGGTACGAGTAGATACCAGTCCACGAGGCCTCCTGCATGTTCGTTCGTTCGTTCGTTTCAGCCAAATGACGTCCACTGCTGTACAAAGGAAGGTTTTCCACAATGCACGGTCCTGCGCTGCCCGCATCCAGGCTCTTCCCGCGACCTTTACCAGATCGTCGGTCCAATAGGAGGCCTGCCCACGCTACGGAACTGCCTGCATCTTAACTAGGGAAAAATTATCTCTGAGCTCGTAAAGAGCTTACCTTGAATCCCGTAGGACACTAGTCCACGAACCGGATGCCCGCGCGTCCCTTCATGGCCGCGATAGCAGCGTTGACATCCTTGGGCACGACGTCCCCCCGGTACAACAGGCAGCACGCCATGTACTTCCCGGATGATACAAAATGCTAATCTAGGGAAAGGTTTAAATATCCTAACAGATCTCACCTTGAATCCCGTAGGACACCAGTCCACGAACCGGATACCCGCGCGTCCCTTCATGGCCGCGATAGCAGCGTTGACATCCTTGGGCACGACGTCCCCCCGGTACAACAGGCAGCAAGCCATGTACTTCCCGTCGCGAGGGTCGCACTTCACCATCTGGTTCTGAGGCTCGAACAGTTCTGCTGTGATCTCTGAGACTGACATGCCTTCGTGGTATGCCTGTGAATAAAGACATGATTTTTATGAGCTGTCAAAACGAGATTGTAGATTTGGAATGGGAGAGGAGACGCTACGACGTCACCAGAGTTCACTATTTATCCAAACTGAAGAAAAACTGATTTAAAGGCTAGATAAGTTTTTTGTTATAGAACTTGGAATTATTGGTTAAGTGTCGATGTCGAGTCGACAAACCATTGGATACTTTGCTACAATGTTATTGGGATAGTGGAAGGTTAGGTTACTCAAATGAGAGTAAGGTTCTCACCTTGTCAGCTGAAACGACAGGCGCATAGGCGGCAAGTGGGAAGTGAATGCGCGGGTACGGCACCAGGTTAGTCTGGAACTCGGTCAGGTCCACATTGAGCGCGCCGTCGAATCGCAGAGACGCTGTGATTGACGACACCACCTGCAAAGAACGTGACCAATTCGTGATTATTTGTATTTATACTGTAGTTTAATGAGGGCTATCGTTTTAGCGCTCACCAGTTAGCGCCACTGTAGAGTAAGGTCCTGTCACTTGCTAGTAGCGAAGACAGTGGCACCAACTGGTGAGCGCGAAAGTGGTAGGAGGACTATCGCATTTGCACTCATCAAGATGGCGCCACTGTAGAGTAAGGTCCTGTCAATCGCCAGGGGTGCCAACTGTTAAGTATAAAAACGATAGCCCTCATTGGAATTCGTCCACCTTCGGCCTGATATATCACTCCATCAGGTGAGATACAGGACAAGATCTGCGTTATGAGTAAAAAAAAGATTATTTAACCAAGCTGATGACAGCATGCACTGAAAAGTATACAACTCTATTGGAATATTATTGGCAGTGGAACAGCTGGTAGGGTAAAAAGATTATGAGACATGTAGAGGCTCCAAGAGCATATGACGATTTGTAAGAACTATTTATTAGTCTAAACAAATAAATAAATTTTGACTTTGACTTTGACAAACAGGGTCACAGGATCTAGCTTCTTTGTAAACTTATTTGTAAATGACCGAACTTAACTGTAAAGTTCGGTAATTTACAAATGTATGTATTGACCTGTAAATAACAGGTCAATACATATGACAGCAGGTTTTAAGTAGAGCAGTGCATCTAACCTGTGATATAAGTCTGTTCAGATTGGCATACGAAGGTCGCTCGATGGACAGCCGCCTCCGGCAGATATCGTAGATGGCCTCGTTGTCCACCATGAAGGCACAATCCGAGTGGCCGATGGTCGCGTGTGTCGTCAGCACCGCGTTGTACGGCTCTACCACTGCTGTTGATACCTGGGTAATCATTCCGAAGTTAGAAATGGAGCATTTATTCCATAAGATATGAAGGCTGATTATTTACTATAGTTACAGAACATATTGCTACAGGAATGTGGAAAAATTTCACTTTGGAAAAAAATGAGGAAGATGAATTACCATAATAGAAGCTGGAATGCCTGTTATTAGGTTTGCTTTGTAAGGCACTATAAAATAGTGGTTCCTAAATTATAGTGATGGCAACAAATTATTTGCTAATAATATTGGGGGTACTTTAAAATTAGGGATACTTACTTGTGGTGCCGGGTAAATAGCGAACTCCAGTTTGCTCTTCTTGCCGAACTCGTCAGATAGCTTCTCCATGAGTAGCGACGTGAAGCCGGAGCCGGTGCCGCCGCCAAACGAGTGGAACACGAAGAAACCCTGAGGATACGCGTAAAATACAGTAAAAAAATATTTTTGTATGAGCTGAGGTGGTATTAAAAAGTGGGCATAAGATTTAATTGCATAAATTCGCAAGCCAATCAAAGATTTTTAGGCAGGGTGAAACAAGGTAGGTCTATAACTATTTTGAAAACTTGGCCAAGGACGTAAAAAATAAGATGGGACAATAATTTTCATACTATCAACGCGAATAGTGGTGTGGTTAACCACATGATTATGCTAGGAACCTATTCAGTCTGTTGCGAAACCAATTAGGTTTAGCCTCGGTGAAATGAGACAAAGATGCCGTTTACAAATCAAAAAGGAATATGAAAAGCTAATTCTAATAGGTACTAGCAGCATAGGAAAGAGAAGAGTCAGCCAGTTTCTTGATCAGCTCCATGACGGGCCCCAACACCTACCGCCCCGGTGGAGCCAAATTCAAATTCAAATTCAAATTTGAAGCCATGCCATGAACAGCTTCTCAGGGTGGTACGAGTTGAGGATTGTTACCTGTAGCCCCGTACATTGGTCAGCCAGCTTCCTGACGCGCTCCATAACAGGCCCCAACACCTCCCGACCGGTGGAGTAATGTCCCCGCGCGTAGTTGTCTCCGGCATCTTCTTTGCCTGTGATCAGCTGCTCAGGGTCAGAGTTGACGGTTGTTACCTGTAATCCCGTGCATTGGTCAGCCAGCTTCCTGACGCGTTCCATAACAGGTCCAAGAACCTCGCGACCGGTGGAGTAATGTCCTCGCGCGTAATTGTTCGCCGCGTCCTCTTTGCCCGTGATCAGCTGCTCAGGGTGGTAGAGCTGACGGTATTCTCCCGTGCGGACCTCATCTGTGAAAATAAAATTCTGGTGTGAAGTGACGGTCGAGTTTAGCAAATCAAAGTCAAGCGAATAAAAGTCTTAATGGAAAGTTGGCATTAGTCGCACATGCCCTTTCTCCAAGTTGCCAAAGTCTCCAGCAAATAGACGGCTGCTAGTCATTGCAGGCGCGATCAAAGACCAATGACAGGTCGCCCGAACCATGCAGTCCGCTCGACCGGTCATTGGTCTATGATCGCGCCGGCGATGGCGAACTGCACGCTGTGGTTGAAGCATATGAAAACTCAAATCTCACCGATAACAGTAGCCTCCAGGTCCACCATGACGACCCTCGGCACCATNACGCGTTCCATAACAGGTCCAAGAACCTCGCGACCGGTGGAGTAGTGTCCTCGCGCGTAGTTGTTCGCGACGTCCTCTTTGTCCGTGATCAGCTGCTCAAGATCAGAGCTGACGGTCGTTACCTGTAGTCCCGTGCATTGGTCAGCCAGCTTCCTGACGCGTTCCATAACAGGTCCAAGAACCTCGCGACCGGTGGAGTAGTGTCCTCGCGCGTAATTGTTCGCCGCGTCCTCTTTGCCCGTGATCAGCTGCTCAGGGTGGTAGAGCTGACGGTATTCTCCCGTGCGGACCTCATCTGTGAAACAAAAGTTCTGGTATGAAAAGACTGTTGAGTTAAGCAGGTGCAGTATGTCAAGCGAATCAGTCTTAATGGAAAGTCGGCATTAGTCGCCATTATTTACATGCCCTTTGTCCTTGCCGCCAAAGAATCCAGCAGATGGTCGGCTGCTAGTTCTATGACCCTCCAATTCGAGAGCTCTACATCTATACTGTACAAAGTAGCTGTGAATTGTGATTGATTGACATTATCTGTCGATCAGAGTCAAAATCTAGATTATAGCTTAAAAAGAAGAACTTCAATTTCAGAAACAATAGAAAGGTAGATAAAATCAAGTCTCACCAATGACAGTAGCCTCCAGGTCCACCATGACGACCCTTGGCACCATCTTGCCCCTATCCGCCTCCGAGAAGAAAGTATTGAAGCAGGAATCCGCCCCGTTGGGGTCGGAGTCGCAGGCGGGCAGCGTCCCGTCGGGCCGGATGCCGTGCTCGAGGCAGTACAGCTGCCAGCACGCCACGCCCATCTGCACGCCCGCCTGCCCCACGTGCACCGAAATGCACTCCCTCTGCTCGCGTACAAACACACACACGTTATTGGGCACACTACACTGCTGGCTCAAGCTCAAACGAGTGAAGATTGGCAAGAGTTTGACATCGTCAAAGCTGTTTACGTGACATTGGCGAAATCATGGTTCTCAAAACCAAGCCGTCGCCAAAATAAAAGAAGAAGAAGAAGAAGACATCTTCATAACTTAAGTTTGAACCACACCAACGCGTGCAGATCGCCATCGCCGGCCATATGGAAATGACAGGTCGCATGAACTGTCATAGGTTGCGCGACCTGTCATTGGCCTTTGATCGCGCCGTGATCACGCCGGCGATGGCGATCTGCACACGTTGGTATGGTTGAAGCATTAGGGCACCAGACTAAGAAAATCAGCAACCAAAATGGGGCAAAGGGGGTGCTGCGCAAATTTGAAGTCTTCATTTTAGTGGCATCAGACTTCGTACTGATAGTAGAAGCCAGAATGAGAGATTGAAATCCATTTGGTCATGGTTTATGGACATGTCATTCAAAATGGCTACCGTCAACTGTCAAAGAAAAGTATGCAGAGTTTTTCATCATTGAAAAGGAAGAGATTAAATGCAGAATTAATCGTACATAGTTGGAAAGACTTTGAACTGATTACCGGAGAAGCCATATCTAGAAATTACTAGAATAATATATCACAAAAGCCGTTTCTTCTATGATTTTGGAAATAATTTCAATTCCCACGAGTAGACTTTATCTGTAGGATCACACACTTTGATTAAACATCTTCATTTCAATGATGAACCACACTAGTTTGATCATAAATTGGCTAGTAAATCTACTAAAATAACGCCCAAAACACTTACCATGATGTATACTGATAATTTTGATAAATCCGGTGTAAAAAGAAATAAATAAAACTATGAATCTAAAAGAACTTGAGTACGAAAATTTGGTCGGACTAAAATTTAGAAAAAAATTGCGAATCAGAGCCCGTCTGATGGGCCGCTTGGATCGATTGTTATTTCTTTTCCATTTTTGAATTTTAATATGGCTTGTCGATCACATTATTAATGGCCAGTAAATTTTTTAGTGCCAAAAAGTTTTCAAGTTGTTCTAAAGGTTTTATTCGAACAAAAATAGCACGTTCGAGTCTTCGAGTCAATCCAGTTTTTCACTTAGTGAATTATTTACAAATAACCGTAAATAACCCTAGGACTTTGAATAATAATTTTAATAAAAACTTATTTTATTTTTGCAAGTAAGTCTTTTTAAAAGCACTTTTACACGTCCCTGTATTAACCCTACCACTGCTTCGGGACAATAAATGGGCCAGTGCTGAGAAGAAGCAGCGCAAAAAACTCAAGTCACCACATTCAATTTAGCCTTTTTCCTTTAAATAATGTATTCTGGAAAACTTTATTTAGTCAAAAAGCTCTTGAGTCCTGCAATTATTATATCTTTAGGCAAGAAACTAGGATGCACTAAAAATATTCAATTTGGTTGTTCTTCTACTCGTATTTCATAATATAAATAAAATAAATATTCTTATTTAATCATAAACCTTACAAAGCAACTGTGCAAAAGCAAACAAAGTTTGCAAACATACACCCACATGTAGGTATTTTGGAGTAAAATGCTCTACGGGTTTAAGTTTAGAGGGTGGCAAGTACACTGTACAGCAAGTGGGGCACTAAGGCGGGGGAGGCCCCCTCGCGGACAATGGCGATCGATGCCCACTGCTGGGCGGGTGAGCCATTAGGGCTGGCAAAAGAAAGTAAATAGTTAACGGTATAAATTATTTTTATTGATTTACTGAAGTTTTAATATTATCTTATGTCTTTGGAATAAATTCAGTATTTTGATTGCATTTTATTATTCATTTATTCATTTATTTATTGCATCACATATGTATGTACAGTAAGGTCTTATAAAATATGTAAGGTAAACATATGGGCCCTGCAAGGGCATTGCAATTTTACTCGTATTTACAATAGCAATCAAATAAATTATAGATGTCTTTGATAGGAAGTACATAAAGCATTTGGAATATAATGTCTATTATTGTATAAAAAATATATTTGAAAAATTACGCATACTGGGCCGACACTTTTTTTTATAAAGTCTCTCCAGGGAATAGGAAAAATAATTCTAATAATTATCATAATGAGTATAGTAGGTAACTGAATAACTGAATGTCATATAATGGGTGATACAATATGTAGATAATAGTTAAACTATGTATTGCATAGTACTGTATATGTGGGCTTATCATTATAATATTCATTTAAATCATAGTAACACTTGCTTAGTAGAAATTTTTTTAGCAAATTAATAAATTTATTTGTATTTGGTTCAGATTTTATGTATGTAGGTAGTTTATTATAGACTTTTATCGTCATTGCGTATGGTCCTGTAGCAGCCATGCCTAGTTTGAATAGAGGTAATATTAAATCATTAGGGTATCGAGATCTTGCATTTACATTTCCCTTTTTTGTGTATAGATTTGGATTTGCGCACAAACTTACATAATTCCAAGATATAAATACATTTTGATGGTAGTATTTTATTTCATAAAGTATGGCTTACAGCTTTCAGTATTCTTTATTTGTGCCAGGATACGTATACACTTTTTTTGGAGAATAAATATGTCATCTGAGTCCGTGCTGTTGTCCCATAGTATTAGTATTAACTATGTCAATACTTATAAATATAATTATATTGTTTTACGTATGATAATGTATTATTATATCATTTTCGTCAAGTCCGAGCAATGTAGCAAAATTTACGCATTCAATACTTTTACCATTGAATGAGTAGTTAATGTTTAATGGAGTTTTTTGATAGGGCCTAAATTGTATTAATTTCGTTTTTGAGTAATTTATTTCCAAGTTGTGGTCGTCCATCCATGCTTGTATGTTATTAAGGTTTTCCGTCAATTTTTGGTTAAGATCAATATTGGATCGGCATGAGGTCACCACCGATACGTCATTCGCGAACATAACACAGGGGATGTTAACGTATTTAGGAAGGTCANACTTACCCCCTTAGGGGTGGAGTTTCGTAAAATCCGTTCTTAGCGGATGTCTACACCCTATAAGGAAGCTACTTGCTTTTCAAGTTTGTAGATGTTATAGTTTCTGAGATTTCGTGATTAATCAGTGAGTTGTATTTCGCTTTTATATGGAGGCTCAGACCAGACGGATATACATTTTTTTAGAACGTTTGATTATGGACTTATCGGATCCCAGCAGGAAAAGTGCTGAGAATCACTTTATTTTATAGTTATCTAGCTCAACAATATCCATAGAGTTCGTCGAACCAAGTCACTTTTCCAAAATATCTTGCTGCATATCAGTATAAATCGAATTTTGAGAGAGTACATTGTCTAAGTTGCAATAAAAAACTGACATTATCTTTTTTAGAAAACAAGGCTTTGGTGAGTCGGCGTCTCCCATGCCGGAATGAAACTCCGTAGTCCTTTGAACAAAGAACAGCGTGTATTGACGCACTTTGCGTAGAATCAGGCGTGAATACAACGATATGAGTAGCACACACAATTATCACTACTCGAGTTGGATTGGTCGAGAATGTATATCATTTTACATAATTAAAAGATCATTATATTATGTACCTACTCGTATCTATATTATCGCAAAACGCGCGGTATAAGTTGAGGCCTCTGACAAGTACAAAAGTTTTGTTGCCAACACACAGATTAAAAAGCACTTGTCTATGCCTAGAGTAAATGTGCGTTCGGAAATCACTTATTTCCGAACGCCACATCACCCCTCCGCCACGGAGAAGGATAGTTAGGAGAAAAAGAAATAGTCATCCTGATCTTTAAATCAAGGATTGTGGCTTGAGCAGGAGCTGCTCGTGGAAGAGGTGTATCAATAGAAGTCTTAGTAATTTGCTCTTGTGTATCATTATGATGTTCATCTGTTGCATAATGATCAATGAAAGTCGGTTTGACACGATCAGTGCTAACCGTGGATTTCTTGCCGTTGATAGTAATAGTCAGGGTTTTACCATCAGTATATCGCTCTAAAACTGGATATGGGCCGGTGTGAGGCGGTTGGAGGGGGTGTCGAACAGTATCATTACGTATAAAAATAAGCGCGCGGTAAAGGTTGAGTCCTCCCTGACAAGTCCAAAAGTTTTGTTGCCAACCCACAGATTAAAGAGCACACTCTATGCCTAGAGTAAATTTTAATGTGCGTTCTAAAATCACATATTTCCGAACGTCACAAAATATTCCATGTTTTTAATAACCTAATTAATAAAGAGTTCTACTGAAAAACACTTTAAATCCGTTTACAAAATACCATAATATTTTGGATTGTAATATTATTGAAAGTATTTAATTCCACACAATCGTTTTTCCACACGATGAAATCTGAATTGAAAATATTGGACACAATACAATATTCATTTTTGATCTGAAGCCTTTGAATATTATTTATCAAAGTGGAATAATATTCACCATATCAATTAAGCCTCTTAAATATGGTTGATTGCATCATTAACGGTATAACTGTTACCTGTGGTTACATCTCTCTATTCGTGTTGTAATGACGAGTGCTAATGATATTACGAGAGCATCCTCATTAATGATGTCACATGAGTTATCCAGTCTCTTTAGGGTAAATTTTCCTTGTATCATCCCTTTAATTCGACATCGACGTCTGTGAATTGTAGTAGGTATTACGACCACGAAAAACATTTAAACATTGTTTTTATGAAATGCTATTGTAGGTTTTGTAATCGCTTAAATAAAAGATCTCTCGTAAATACTCGCAAAATATTTGTGTCTTTGTGTCAATTTTCCGCCCAATATTCTAACAAAAGCTTCATAAATAAATCGAACAATTTCAATATTGATATTCTTTGAATTTGAAATAAAAGAAATCTCCCAGTTCTGTTTCTGTTAAATTTAACTCTTTGAATGGTTAAACAATCGAATGATTTGAAAATTATAAATAACTTGAAAAAATCGAACTGCCTAAGGCGGGAATTGAACCCACGACCTTCCGCTTGCCGGGCGACTGCTCTTCCAACTGAGCTACTTAGACACTGGATGAACCCGTCGAAACGGCGACTCCAAACGCTAAAAATTTAATAATCGAATGATTGTAAATACATTTTCATGTCGAATATTATTTTAGTACTATTCGAAGCTTTGACCGCTTTTGTGTATTTGGAATGCAGACCATTGACGTTCGGGAATAATAGGAGAGCAACGATAGGAAGTTTCGAACGAAAATGAAAAATTATATTTCAAAGAAAATTTAATAAGTGCCATGCGTGGCTTGTTTTTTTTATCAAACTCTCGGAAGGATGTGGATACTCATATTCAATATTTCTTTATACTGATATTTATTTTAGGTACTACCTACCGTGTTTTTACCGCCATCTTTATTTTTGTTAAAATCTACTACAATGGATACACACGGCTAAATTCATGGAATGTTTTTATAGTTCATCAGAGTAAAACACGACCAAAGCTGGTAATCAATTAATTAATTACAAATATTGCGTTGCGTAGTAGGTAAGTATTTGTACGCCGCCTATTTCGTGGAAAGAGAACGCACTCCTATGAGGTTTTTATTATCGTGTTTTATTTTAGTTACTTACAAAAAAATGGGTACCTAAGCTAGAAATGTACATGAGTAAACTCAATAGCGCTGGGACGAATGTAACAGAAAAATGAATTTGTGGAAAACGTAAAAATAAGTTGACAATAGTTTATTTTCAAAGATTTTACGAAATAGCCCCGAGTTTTGAATGAAGTTGACACATTTTCTGCTTTAGAGGGCTTCAACGGTTGACCCATATCTACTTTAGGTAGGTATACTTGTATTAAAGCCTGAATACTTAATTACATTTTGGATCGAATATTTTTATAAAAAATGTTTATTTTTATTTTTTTGTGACGTTAGTCGTCCTTAAAATATATTTTGGGTAAGTAAGATGATTTAACATACAAAATTGTTAGCAGAATGATTTTTCGCCATTCAGA